AAAACTTGCATTTAATTTCAGGACAAAGTAAAGTACGCCTCTATTCTTATTTATGCCTCTTTGAAAATGGTTAGCAATTTTTTTCCTATAGGAAACATCAATTAGCCAGTTACCCCAAACTATACAAACACAATAAACGAGGCAAGGCAAAATACTTTATCCCTCTTCAAAATAAATCCGGCACACGACGGAAGAGGGATTTCAATGGAACTCCTCTGAATAATACTTTACATATTTATCACTAGACCATATATGCAGTGACCTTAAATTTCTCGCGGGAAACAAAACTACACCTATAGCTCCTAACTGCAAAACTAAATAGATAACTTCTCACTTTGTGATTTCGTCCACCTTGGAATTAAAAACAAAGCTTGGGAAGGTGGTTGTTATGTCCCTGCATTGATTTCACAATTACGTGATCTGAGCTAAACCGAAAGTTGTTTCGAATAATTTACCGTATAAACAGTGTTACACATAGACATAGGCTTACCTCAGGTAGGGTAGGGTCATGACTTTTAGTAGCGATGGATTCTTGGCAACCAAGTTTTCCCACTCGGACTTGTCTATTTTCCCATCTTGATTTGTATCAGCATCCAAGAAAGTCTGGCCACAAGAACAGAATATCAGGTTTAAACTTTTACTTTTGTGATGTCTTCTACAGGAAGCTAAATAAGTCTGCAGCAATTTGGCCTTGTATTTCTTATCATGACATCAGTAACCTAGACTTCTCAGAATATTAGTTTAGAAGTCTTTGACTGCTAATATCTGTATTTTATACTCTTTTGGTCCTTAGTATAAGATCTACTTAACTAATTTGATTAGATTAAGAAAGTTAGGTAAGTTAGTTAATTATAAAAACTATGACATGTTTTTTTTAAAACACTATAATCATCTTCCTTAATATCCTCCCTCTCTTTTCTGCTTGATTATGGTTGAGAGAGTATCTATATAGGTAATTTACAAAAAATTAATAAATATGATAAATAGTCTTATATTTAGGACCAAAACCAATTCAACAATTAGGTCCTATATTAAAGACTGGAAGAGTATTATCTAGGATTTGAACAAAGACAGCTCACCTTATCAAGTATTTTTTCTAATGCATCATCGGCCAACTTCATTTCAGATTCTGAAAGAAGAGCAATTAACATTTGCTTGACCTGGCGCAAATCATCAAATTAAAATGAAGATGTTTCGTGAGATTAGTAGGCACATGTATAGAAAAATAGTTACACTCGAATGAACTGGTGACTGTCAATATCAATCTAGAGACTAAGAATGTCATTGCATACAAAAAATATATTTTGATCTTACCTCTTGGCGCTCAATAAAACCAGTATTCTGCATATCATAAAGCCTAAATGAAACTGCAAGAAAATCCCAAACATTGCCTATCAGTACATCCAAATCACAACATTTGATTGAGGATGATCCACAAATCTATATTTAAGGACTTGATCTTCAACTTACAGTCTATCTTGTCTTCTTGTGATGCTTTAGGGTGGAAGACACTGAGTGATCTAACAAAATCGCCAAAATCAATGGCTCCCTTATTCTTAACATCAAACATATCAAAGATCTGCATTCAGAACGAGTATGATATCAATATAGATCCAACTAATAAAAGGCAAATACATGGAGATACAAGAAGCTGCGTGACACTTTATCAAAACAGAATAAGGATCAGCAATTAGCCAGATATATGTAAATGAAGAAATTCATGAGCACCTAATTATAGATTTCACTTCGGAATGAGAAAAGAGGCTATATTTTCCATTCACAAGTGCAAATGAATAATAACCTGCATATCTTAATTCAACACCTAATGGAGCCAGTCAGCCAAATGCTAGTTGGTTCATAATTATTTTACAGGCTTGAGGTAGGATTAAGATATTGTTGGGGTCTACTTCAGAGGCACATCACGAAATCGCATATTTCTCCATTAACTAGTAGAACTATATATCAATGATTCAAAGAGTGCATTTGAATCTGTCCATAGGCATATACATGCCAGCAGGCAACCATAACTATTGCAGCAATGTTTCTAAGCATGCTAAAGGATGTTATCATACTCGACCAGCAAAGAGATTGTCCTTTCTTTTATTGTTGAAAATCGCCAAGAGAAACTCTTCCTGCAGTGGAAGAAGAATGATAATTACAACATGAAAAGACAGCTCAAAACAGAAAGGGAAACATTTTATAGATCGTTCATGGCAATTAGCATCACAAGTACATGATAACCAATCTCATCTTATGACTCAGAAACTATAGTACACTATAGATTAACCAAAGGATTCAAAGAAGTTAACTGCCAGCAAGTTATGACCAAAATTCTTCTAACAAAATTTGCATGCAAAGGGAATTACCACATCCTCATGATGCTACATACAACACAAACCAGAGAAAACAAAAAGGGATAAAAACAGCCAGAACTAGTAACACAAACTTAATGGACAATCGCGGGAAAAATGCATGTTATCCAGTACCTTGCTGATTAGTCCATCATCAACAACCGAACTGCTGATGCTCTTGAAAAGCTCAAACAGTGCTTCAACCTCACTAACACTGACTGAAAAACCATAAATTGGCACACGAGTTCAAGCAACATAGTTAACATGTATTTTTCACACCACCCGCACATACAGACAGACATTTTATCACATATACACTTCACATCGATGTGGAAAAAGTAAACTTTTTCAATAAAAACAAATGACTTTCAGGCATTACTGTAACATCCTTTAGCTGATGGACAGTTTTATGTGCAAGTGCATGGAAAGAAAGCCTTTAGACAGTGTCACTGTAATCCTTATTCTTCTTGCCAAAAACTCCGTAGTGAGTTTTTAAGTCGAATATTGGAGAGCCCTTCAAAAGTGGGACTTATAATCTTAACAGCTATACTCATCTAATAGACTAGTTATTTGGGGTAAGTTCTCCCTTTAAATTTATGCTCAGAACATCAGTACTTTCATTGAGTGAGGCCAAGATGCAGAGGAGGCAACATGCAAGTTAAACTAAAATAACATGTGATAGGTCATGCCATATCCCACGCTGGGAAGCCTTTCCTCGAGGTGGGGGCTTATAAATGTAACGAGTTTTCATATCTCATGAACTACCCTTTTGGGATAACTCTCTCCTTTAGAACTATACTTGTAACATGAGAAAACTTTAAGGATTGTTAGACCTAATTACTATGATTTCTAAGATTCATTCAGCTAGAAAAAGGGTATATTCACAGCATGCAGCAAAGAAGCCTATTAACTTCAGCCGTTGTAACTCAATAAAACAGTATTAGCAAATCCAATTATAGCATTCAATGATTCAACCAAAAAGCTTTATCGACTTACAGGCTGTCTCTGATGCCAGAACTAAAGGGTCCTCCCCCACAGGTGACCTTCTCTTACGTCCTGCCTTAGAGTAGAAACAGCCCATTTTTGGATGAAGGGCAGGCAGCACAGACTAGCGGGCTTTACCAAAAGAAATAATCAAAAGCAGCTTAGTTTTGTAATGCGAAATTCAAATTCAAACACAAGAACGTGAAATAAATAGTAAATAAATCAGGCTCATGACGGCAAAGAGTCTTACCAAATCGCGATACAAAAAAAGACTTTTAAAACGTCAAACGTAGAAAAGGAAGAAAAGGGAAAACAATGCACGTAAAACTCCACAATTGAATGCAAGAATAAAAATTAATGATTGAGAAAGGATTAGCGAATGTATGAAAGATTAAAGAAGGAGCCTAACATCGGAACAACAAGGAGTAAGAGAAGAAGGGAAAAAATAAAGGTTAAAACCAGTTCTGCATTAAACCGAAATAATAAATATATTAATTAATGCAGATAAAAACTTGGCTTTCAAGTCAGATTTTTTTCCCGTTACCTCAAAAGACCGGCATCACGAAAATTCCCAGATCCTCAAATATTCAAGTTTCAACAGATAAATTTAAAACCTATGAAATCATTCTCTTCTCCTTTCCAGGGCAACCAAAGCAACAAGAACAGCTCAAGAACAAGAAAAAACTAATTAACAAATCGATTGTATAGAAAAAAGACCCGGATAAGTAATCCGCAAAACCAAAAAATACATTTTAATTTTTTTTTCCATCTCCTTCCCTCCTAGGAATTCATTCAGAATGAACCTCAACATGACATATAATTAAATCAAATGCAAGAACGTTTCACGAAAAAGAATTGGAAATATCACACAACGAAAGGCAGCACAATGCGTCCATGCCGTGAGGGGAAGAAGAAACTCACCGGATTTCAGCTGACAATTCCCGATTCGGTTATCCTGACAAAGAAGCCATTGGGCATGGAAATGGAAAGAGATGCGGCAAGAGTAACGCAGAGTTCTTGACAAAGGAGGAATCCTGGTCTTTAGAACTCTGGAGAGATTTCCCCGTTGCTCTTGCCCGAAGGCGCCAGAAGCAGAAACGAAGACGCGAATGAAGCAGCTTGATGCCGCGAAGACGGGATATATGGGCACGTCCGTGAGAATCACGTGCCTTCCAAATTCAACCGACAGAAACTCAGAAAGATGAATATTTGCAGCAGCCTTGGGCTATTGAATGAATTGAATCACCGGATTGTCGTTATCATCATTCAGAATTGAAATTTTCTCTGAAGGGAAATACACATACATATAGATACCCACACACACACATGTATATACACAAACTGAAATTCTCTTTTGCAATTATAATTTAATGGCTTGCGCTTTTCCTCCATTTTCTTAATATCGGCACCTTCATCATGGGCAAAAAATTAAGAAATACTTTAGTTGACCCATTATCCATAACCAGTAATTAATCGACAGGTCACCTAACATTAACATCTTTCCATCTTGGCATATAGCATTATATGTTTTTAATCATATAATAATACAATTTTTGCCCTGATTGCTAACAGTGATATCGTCATTCTGCCAAGCCTTATCCATCTAATAAATCGCAGCAGAATTTGACAAATGCTTATATGGCAATCATATATATAAACTTAATGAGTAGAATTTGTTCTATGTCTAGATAATATTCGTTTCACATACAACCGTGTATATTTAATTTTCTAGACATAAGGATATCAAAATTAACACAACAAACAAAGCTCTACATGAAAATACAATTTGTGTTATGAATTTACGTACAGAATTATGCATAAGCAGATATTGTTGTAAAGCTTGGGTTAACTCAGTATACTGGCTTGTTTGGTGCTTGGTGCTGTTCAAGATAAAACTCTTTTTATGTATTTATTTTGTATTTTGGAGATTATAATTGAAAAAAAAAGAGCTGTTTTTAAAGTATCTTATCTCTATTTTAAGCAAGTACTACCCTCAATCCTTTATATAAGACCTTATTTGATTTTTATTTTAGTCTTAAATATAAGACCCCACTTCATTTTTCTCTCATATTTATGTATTTTTCTCAAAAAAATCCTTCTGATAATAATAGTTCTAACCAATACATTTGATTAGCAAAGATATTTTAGGAAAGACAACATTTATTCATCACAAATAATTAACTTAACTTATTTCTTTAGTCCTCTTAAATTAGTCAACTAACTCTTATAATTAGGATTGGTATTACTGTATTGACTCACATGCAAGTTGGGGTGGATTTGGCGATGACTCCCAGAATAGCTGTCATCGTGTTACAATTGCTGCATGCCACGCAAGTCACTTATTCCGCCATATAAAGCACCCCCTGCCATGTTTGAACACGGATCGCCACCATAACTGAGCATAAAAGGGCCAACGACCGGTGGGACCACGCAAATACAGTTATACGACTGCGACTTTGATCAATCATTAAACGTCTCGTGAATGTTTAATAAAGATATTAAAAATATATTTATAATTTTTTTCTAAGTGGGTCCAACACTGTGAAATATTTTTTAATGCACTTAAAAATATATTTTGATAAATCTGACACCGAGGCAAAGAAAATACTTTAGGGTGCTAAACGCACCCAAAACATATTTTGAGGTACTGAATATAACATAAAATACTTTAAAGTGCTGGACGCATATAAAAAAATACCTTGATCTTTTATTTAATTAAACATATTTATGCTTAATGTTATAGATTATGGAGTCCAAGGTGGGAAAAAGAATTATAAATATAGATGAAATTATTTTAAATTAATATAATATATACTTTAATAATTACTTATTAATATAAGCAATCTATTATGAGTACATGACTTAAGTTACTTCCGTGTTACGGGTTCAGCTAAACTCATAATTTTGGTCGGCAAAAAAATCTCATAATTTTGACAATTTATTCTATCTTTTGTCCTTAATATAAGAGTTAGTTGATTAATTTGAGTAATTAAAAAATCAGTTAAATTAGTTACTTGTAATAAATATGTGTTGTCTTTTTTAAAATACTCTTGCTAATAATCTTATTAGTTAGAACTATCATGTGATGAGACTTTTAACATGTACAATTTTCACAAGAATTATTTTACAAAAATAGATAAATATGAAAAAATATATATTGGGGTCTTATATCTATTATCAAATTAAAAATTAAAATAATTTTTATATTAATGATAGAAGGTAGCATTTTATATCACGAAAATTTGAATGAAGTAATGGGATGGAAACAAGTGGCATTATGGAGAGACATATTTAAAACACAAATACTCCTCCGGTCCTAATTATAAGACCCAATTAACTTATTTGAGGAGATTAAGAAAGTAAGTTAAGTTGGTTATTTATAATAAATAAGTGTTGTCATTCCTAAAATATCCTTGCTAATTAAATATATTAGCTAAAACTATCATTATTAGAAGGATTATCTTGGAAAAAAATACATAAATATAAAAGACAAAATGGATTGGGGTCTTATAATTAGGACCAAATAAAAAGTCAAATGGAGTCTTATAATAAGGACCGGAGGAGTAATTAAAATATCGGGGGGTCGGGTCATAAAAGTCAACCCATGTGCTCAATGTCATGTGAGGGCGGAGGTATTGCAACTAAATGAAAGCCAGGCACCTGCCATGCGCCCATGCCCTTGAAATGGGAAAGAGCAAGCAACGGCCATAAGACAGCCTCAAAGAAAAATGGCACAAAATTACGTGGTATTAGTTAATTAATTTATAAATTACTTTTAATATATTTTATTTAAAAATAATCTTAAATCTTATTAATTATTTTTTTTGCATTGAATTAATTATGCCTTAATTTGCAACTTACTTTTATTTAATATATACATTTTTTTTAAAAATAGTAAAATACACTATAATAAATTATAATAAATAAAAAATAAGAATATATTCATGTTAAAAATTTAATCATACGACTTATAAATATGACTAATAAAATTTTTTATATAAATAGGATAAGAGGAGTTTCAATTAAATAAGCTATTTAGTAGTAAAAAAATAAGCGATGATTTTTCAAAATACTTTTCTCAGCATAACTTATACATTGCCTAAAGATTTTATTATATAATAAATGGTTTCAAATAATCATATAAATAAATAAATCAAATTCTCAATTAATTTTTATATTTTAAATAAGAGAGCGTAATTTTTTTAGGAGTGTAAAAAAATGTTTAAACGGTCAATAAAGAATTTTGGCATTTTACTCATATTTGAGGAAAAAAATTCAATCTGAAAGTTCGAGATATTACTAACATTTTGGATAGACTTAAATGTCATTGTCATGGTTTTTTAATTGGGTTTCAAAGTGTGCTTTTCCTAGATCCCAAGTAAGTGAGTGAGGGGAGGCTGTCCCCGGGGAAGGTTTCACCGAAGTCACGTGCTTTAACGCCTGGCCTTGGCTTTTCACTCTGACTTTTGCCTGAGTAGTGAATACCACCCCCCCCCCCGGGTTATTCTTTTTTCTCTTGCACAAGTTTTCTTCAGAAATAATTCTATTTAATACATTATCGTATATTAAATATAAACATATGTAAATTATTTAGCAAAAATTGGTTTATTCTAATAGATCTAATTTTTTATTGATGGCATACTATTTGTTCTAATTGATTTGTCGCAGTTCACATCTTGTGGATGCAGACATCATAATTTTTTTGCATTTTACCAATTGTTTGGGATTAAAAAAAAAGCAATGATTTAATTATATTATATATTACATAATCTTTTTAAAATACTTATATCTGTTATACCAATTATAAATAACACAAATTTGTTTAAAGAAATTGTTTTTTAATCTCTCTAAATTAGCCAGTTGAGTCTAGATAGATGGCTAGTGTTACCTTCAGTCATTAATATAAAAGCCAGTTTGACTTTTAACTTGATATTAAATATAAAATCATAGTCTACTTTGTCTCTTTTTTTAATCTTTTTTTTCAAAATAGTGCTATCATAGTAGTTGCATATATTAGGAGTTTAATCAAATTGTAGTTTTAACTAATATACATGATTGATAAGTGTATTATAGAAAAAATAACACCTATTTATCACAAAAAATAATTAACTTAACAAACTTTCTTAATATAATCATAAATATAATATTCTAATCCACTTTATCTCTTATATTTATCTATTTTTTTTTAAAGTAATATTCTTATATAATTACACATGTTAAGAATTCTATTAAATAGTAGTTCTAACTAATACATTTGATTAGTAAATATATCCTAAGAAATATAATACATATTTAATATAAACAATTAATTTAACAAATTTTTATACTTTAATCAAATTAATCCATTAGTTTTTATGTTAAAGATTAGAGTTGGGATTGATTTTTTGGGAATATTAAACGGTAAGAGTTGGATTTAGCATAACTTGTCCGCGTCATAATTAAATGCATAGACACGCGTGTGGCATTAAACAAGCCTAGGTTGAATCGAGGCAAAACGACCATATGCGTTCAGCTTGAATCTTCAAAATGGGACCAAGAAGGCAAGAAGGAAGAACAAAGTTAATACAATGCCACGCTCGCGTGCCCCATGCATATCCGGTGGCGTGGCCTCCCCCCCCCCCCCCCCAAAAAAAGTGAAGGGGGCTGGATTAAGAGAGTGGGAGTTTTGATATAAATAAATTTAAATTGTTAAAATTTGATACCATTTATGAGACTTTATTTATAATCTACAAACGAAATTTTATAAATAGGGCCGAGATAATGTTATTTACTAAAAAAGGTGAGGTGAGATTATGAGGAAAAAAAAAAGAGAACATCGCTAACATCACGCGTGATAGGTTATATTTAGGGGGTATTTGGAGTAACCCAAAAGTATTTTTGAAAAGCATTTTTTCATAAATTGAGATAAATTTCTCTATATATTTATTTTATATATAGTAAAAGTATTTTTAAAACTATACTTTTGTTCCAATCTAAACGTCCCTTTAGTTTGGTTTCTTGGATTTTCCCCGGTTGATGGATACAGGTGGTTCAATCTGACTCGTTACGTGGGGACTAAGTAATCCTAGACTTTAGGCATGGGATGGCCATTCCAATTTGTTGATCCCTTAGTCGAAGCCACCGACCTTCTAATAACTGCCCATCTTGACGCAATGAATTATGGCCTCTTATCTTTGACTGGGCTCTCTTTAGGTCATCAGCGCCAAACAAGCAATCAAAGCTGACAAAACGGCATGCTTGGTATGGTATATGGTAGGATGAGAAAGCAAAATGATATGGAGTTTGTTTGTATCTGTGCTCGAAGCATACTTATAAATACTTTCATACACGGTGAGATAAAAAGTTTCTCATATATTTATTTTGAATTTAGTAAATTATAATTAAAAAGCTACTTATAAGCCCGTATAATTATGATGATTTTGTGTTAATTAAATGTAACCTTGAAGATGTAAATTAAACCGATTGAATAATTATTATTCCTAGTGTCGGCAAGAAGAATTTTGTCCTATCAAATTAATTTAAGGCTCTAAATATTAGGTTATATTTGTATACTTTTATTTATAAGTAACTTTAATATATTTTGCTGAAAATAAAAATATTGACTTTTATTATCCTTATATTAAAATTTAATAATTTTTAACTTTACTCTTGTTTAATACACATATTTTTTTATAAAAATATGACATATAAATGCTACTATTTTTTTTCCTTCTCCAATTTATAAACATAAAATTGGAGGAGCATATTGACTGGAAGGAGAATATTCCATAGGACGAAGCATCCAAGCCAATCATTGACCTCATCACGCGAGATTAAATGAATCGGATACTTTGGGTAATCCCCACGTTCCGCCCCTCAAGTCCTGTCCCCCATTTAGTCAAAACAAAAGAAAATGTTGTCCGTTCACTTGTGAATTCCGATTCCGCCCCACACGTCACATGGCTTCTGCTCTTCGTTCTTTGGGCAAATTTATCTTTTTATAATAAATTTGTCCGGTTATGATTTTTTTTTTTAGTTTTCATGGTTTTAGTTTTGTTTCAAATCCGGCTTAGTCCCTCTAAGCCCGTAAATATTTATGATTTTTATTATACTAAAATTTCAAAATTTATGATTTTATAAATAGCTTTTTTAGCTACAGACAAGTATCTTCTTATTACTTACATTATCTGATACTAAATATATATATTTATCCTAACAGCAATTTAAATATCGATTCACCAAGTTATTAAGGGCTAGCTTCTTACGTAAATTTAACCTCATTAGCTGCTTTAGAAAGAGTTATCATAAGAAGACAAGTGATGCCCACTGAACATGTCACAGACAAATGAACAATAGCTCATCAAAGCCTATTGCGAACGGTCTTCTTTGGAGGGGTTGGGTTGGGCCGCGCCTGACATGGCTCATCTAAACACCTTCTTACTGTTTCTTCGGCAATCGGCATTAGCCGAACTATACTAATTTATCCATAATAGTTTTAACCACCTCAACATACTAACAGGATAAATGAAAAAAAATATTTTCAACCATTAAATTTAGGCTAAAATATATATATTTAGACCATTAATTTTATATAAGATTTTAGTTTGCTCTATTAACTTAAAAAAGAAGAAGATATTTTTAGTTCTTTAAATCTAAAATATTAGTCTGCAATTATTTTTGTAATAATCATGATTGTTTCGAAAAATGAATTTAAAATATTAGTATTTGAAAATATTTTTTGATCAATCAAGATTTCTACATCATCATTTTTTATTAACTATGTTAGGATTAAAAGACTAAAGATATATTTTTTAAAGTTAAAAGAATTAAATTAAAATTTTATATAAAATTATATAACTAAAAATATACTTTAGTCTTAGATTTATATAGTAGGAAAAAAGGACTCAAATACTTTATTATTTTTCAAAAAATTAGTTCCTAGATAAGGGTGTTTACGGGCTGAGGTCAGGTTGCAAATCCCCATAACTAATTGGTGGTACGTCGCGTGAAATCCCTTCTCGGGTGAATTTTCAACTGTTGGGCCAGAGAAGTTTGGGTTGACTTGGTATCCAAGAGGACTAGGCGATGCTAGTTTTTTTGACGGAAATTTAGCCCAATAAAAAAATTGTAACAATTTAAGACAAACTTTAAAAACAGGTTTAAATTTGTCCAATATATTCCTCATTAACATTAAGTTTCTCTTCGAAGCCAATTTAACTTGCCCCTTTATATTAAATATATATTACTCCTCCGTTTTCAACATAAAATCTTTTTAACTAATTTGATTATATTAAAAAATTTAGATAAATTAGTTAATTATAAAAAAATGATATGTTTTTTTAAAAATATTATAATCATCTTTCTTAATATCCTTCCTTCTTCACTTACTTGATTATAGTTGAGGGAGTATCTATAGGGATAATTTAGGAAAAATTGATAAATATGAGAAATAGGTTTTATATTTAGGATCAAAATTAAATTAATAATTAGGTCCTATATTAAGGACCGGAGGAGTACTTCTGTATTTAATATAAGAATTTATTTGGTTTTTATTTTGATCCTAAATATAAAATCTTAATTGGTAGTTCTGGCTAATACGTTTAATTAGCAAGGATACTTTAGAAAAAATGATACTTATTTATTATAAATAACTAATTCGATTAGTTTTTTTAGTCTACTCAAATTAGTTAACTAGCTTTTATATTAAGAGCCGGAGGTGGTATAATATTATGACAATAAATAAGTTTAATTTTCAATTAAAATTCAAATATTCAAATTATAAAACTAATAATTATAAAATCATTTTCTTGCACGTATAATAATATGAAACCAATCAGCGATCACAAAAAGTAAGGAAAAAAGAGTATGCTTGTTATTATAAATTAAAATTACTATAAAATAAGTCAATTTAATCCCAAGTAAGCACTTGGTGAAGTGTTTAACTATATTTTCAAAAAGAAATGATTAGAAATAAATTTAATAAAATTAGAATTTTGAAGGCCTTATCCCTTTTTCAAAAAATTATTGCCAATAAATAGTTTCTTTAATTAATTTTCAAATAAAAGGCCGCCATTTGGCGGCTATTGAAGAAGGACTGAAGGAGGCAGAAGACTTTGAAGGCGCCAACGTTTAGACGTAAACAGCGCATCGCCATCGGCATATGGAATCTGGATATTTAGATAATATATTTTATGCTTAATCCAATTAAATTAATATATATTGAGATAACATTTCACTTGCTAGTTGGTTTTAATAGCATTTGCTCAACAATTATTTCCAAAATTCAAATTAATATAAATTAATTCACGTCACATATGTTTTTTTTAAAATCAAAAGGAAACCAAACTATCAATCTTTTTTACCATGGTTTAATCGATAGACTTAAATTAAAATTAAATAATCAAAATATGATATCCACCCGTACATTATTTCGTATAAATTTATTTTAAATTAAAACCAAATTGATACCGACGGAAAATGTCATCGATATAATAATCCGAAACTTGTCAAAATCGTATATTCGGACAGCGAAAACGACCGAGCATGCGCCGTGGAGATACCCACGGGCAGACAATACAGCATTGTAATACGTTGTAGGCACGCGCAGCCACACTGAATCATGAATTTATGAATCGTCTTGCGCGTGTCGCGTACGGGGACGATACCAATCCCTATGATGTTCATTAGTCAGTCTGTGTCATTGCAAGCGACTCTTTGAAGTTAACCCCTGTAGCAAACGTGTTCCTCAATCCTCCCATTCCTATTTGTTTGTCATGGAGAGAAAAAGAAAAAGCTCGCTGCGATTCTGATTCTGCTTATGAGATCTTTTCGCAATTAATTCCTTCGTTGCTTGGGAGTTTGCCCCTAATTTTGTGCGATTCATCTGTTTCTTGTGTAACAATTTTTGTTAGTGTGAGCAGATATTAGCTCCCTCTTCTGCAACAACCTGCTACGTATATTGCATATATTATAACAAGTAACAAGACACAGTACAATCGGCTGGAATATATATATATATATATATATATATATATATATTCTAACTTGTTCTTTACGTTCTAAAGGCGTTTGCTGATTTTCTAAAAGGTGAGTTGGTTGGTACCTGTGTTTTCAGACAACTTTACCTGCTTTTGTAGGGTCTCTTATGATTTGTGGATGCTTTTTACTTTGATCTCTTCTGAGGTTTGCGTATGTTTGTTTATTAAATTAGACTTCTTGTCGGTTTTTATTAACTTTTTCTAGTGTTTAAACTTTATTCTTTCGGTACTCACTGTGTCCTCTGTTCTGGTTTGCTGGTTCTGGGTTTGTCGTTCAGTGTGCGATCTTCGGAGAAACTTGTGACGGCCGACATGGAGGAACGGTATGAGCCACTGAAAGAACTTGGTTCTGGGAATTTCGGAGTGGCCAGGTTGGTGAGAGACAAGATCACGAAGGAACTTGTTGCTGTCAAGTACATAGAAAGAGGGAAAAAGGTAAAATCTTTTGCTTAACTATGTGTAGGCATAAGAGTTCTTGCAGGAGATCAATGCTATTTGTTAAATTTGTCCCTTTGTTTTTCCGCTATCAATGGAGATCAAGTTCATCTCTTCCGGTTATCACCTGGCATCTGGATTATCATACTGTAAGAACTGCATATTCATTCTAAGGTTTCTTTGTTGGGGTTGTAATCCTTGAAAGCTGTGAATTCCCAAAGATTCTCAAGAGCGTCGACTTTGCTTTTATTTTACGCATTTTGAGATTTCAACGTACCACAAGCTAGATTGGTAATTATGAATAGATCGTATTGAATATTGAAAGGTCTGTTCTTTCCGTTAATGGTGTTTCTTATTCCATGTACCTTCTTGATGCGTTGATAATATAATTCTTCCTCCATGTCCTGCCTCAACGAAGCCGCGGCTTTGTTTTTCTTGCTTACTGGTTATGGTTATTTCATACTGAAATGTCTCATTCTGCTGGAGCCACTCTGCATTTTTTGCCTGGAGACCGATCTTTTTTTTTTTTTTTTGGGAAAAAAATTGATATCTTTTACTTCTGATGTTGAAAACTTGGTGGTGGCTGCAAATGCTGATGTCTGATGGTTTTCCCTTTTTGGTAAAACGGGGAAAGAAAGTTCATTTTTTGTTGCTTGCTTTCTCATTCGCCTCGCTTATATTACATCATCGCAATTCACCCTCTGTATATGGGTATCAGAAGCAATCTTTTAAATTATTTTCTTAATGTTTCTTCCTATTGCTTTACTTACCCAGCATCTCTTTCTGAATGTCTGCTGTTTGTACTTTCAGATTGACGAGAAAGTTCAGAGGGAGATCATTAACCACCGATCTTTAAGGCACCCAAATATTATCAAGTTTAGAGAGGTGATGGTTTGGTTTTTTTTATTTTTACTTTTTTTCCTTTTGTACTTAGTACTGTTACTTCTTAAGTTTCAACATGTGGAATCGGACACATTGGACTTAGTGAATATTGAAGCATACAAGTCTCAAATTGCACTCATTGGCTGAAACAAATTTGAGCAGTTTATTAGAAGTATGAATGATACTCAGCAGCATTTTATTATTGTCACTATAATATGCAGAAAAGCCTGAATCTGCTTATGCTCCTCTCTCTCGAAAATATGTGGCGAACCCAGAGAATTATCACGTAGATTTTTGTGCGAATAATGAATGAGAGATCTTGTGCAGGTCTTGCTGACCCCAACTCATTTAGCTATTGTCATGGAGTATGCTGCAGGCGGCGAACTCTTTGAGAGGATATGCAGTGCGGGTCGATTCAGTGAAGACGAGGTCTTAGAATTTATTTAACTTAGCTACTGCAATTAAAAGCTTCCTTGTTCAAATATTTGTGAAATGACTGTTTATCTCGCAGGCAAGATTTTTCTTCCAGCAGCTAATATCTGGAGTTAGCTACTGTCACTCAATGGTAGGTCTGCACCATTTTTTCATCACAAACACTTGTGAGTTTCTTGTAATCTTGTCTGCTTTCTTCTGCAGCAAATTTGTCACAGAGATTTGAAATTGGAGAACACTCTCTTGGATGGCAGTCCAACACCTCGACTGAAAATATGTGACTTCGGTTACTCCAAGGTTGGTGCATTGTAATCTGCAGCTGGAATGCACCTTTTTCTTTCGGACTCTGAATTTTTATTACATTCTTAAAGTTATGATATGTAAATGTAGTCTGCTATACTGCACTCTCAACCGAAATCTACTGTTGGAACACCTGCTTACATTGCTCCGGAGGTTCTGTCCCGAAAGGAATACGATGGAAAGGTATTGTGGGTTGTCTTGGGAAATTGTGTTGAGGAGTCTCTGATTAAGGAAGCCATAGCTTGATGTTTTTTGCAATTTGTTTTAGATTGCGGATGTTTGGTCATGTGGTGTAACGCTTTATGTCATGTTAGTGGGAGGATACCCATTTGAAGATCCTGAAGATCCTAGGAATTTCCGGAAGACAATTGGAGTGAGATCCTGTTATCAACGTCAAAATTTATACTATGTTTCATTCACACTTGTGGATATCTATGACAGGAAACTGAAACACTCTGGTTTGCTCTTATTGGCAGAGAATAATGAGTGTTCAGTACTCCATTCCCGACTATGTACGTGTCTCTGCGGATTGCAGACATCTTCTTTCTCGCATCTTTGTCGCCGACCCCGCCAAAGTATGTACATTTTTCGTATTCTTACCCTGTAATAAGGCAACTAATTTATGTGTCATGCAAGCTAACTATCTGTTGTGACCTTTGTTAAAGAGGATAACGATCCCAGAGATAAAACAACACCCTTGGTTTTTGAAGAACCTGCCTAAAGAGATGAATGAAACAGAGAAAAAAGTCAACGAGGAAGCAGAGAAAGATCATCCGAGCCAGAGTGTTGAAGAAATACTGCGAATCGTACAAGAGGCAAGGATACCGGGGAAAGAATCAAAGGGCGGTGGGCAAGTTGGTGGAGGAGGATCATTGGACGGTGAGGATGATGATGAAGAATCGGAACTTGATGTTAGTGGTGACTATGCTACGACAACATAGTCACGAATATCAGATTGTGCAGTATATTATGTTCGAGTACATATCAAGCCTTGTTCGTAGATTGGGGTTCGTGTTTATTATCTGAATAATGTATTAGATTCCTTACTGTAAAAAGGCTTGATTGTCTGTTCTTTTCACAAACAACAAACCACAAAGCTGCAAAGGTTGTAAATTTTTTTTTTTTGGGGGTCCAAGAAAGGGCTTAACCTTGTTAAGATGGCGTCGGATTTATCATTTATTACCTGCTATCTTGTGGTGTTTACTACAATTACAGAAACGAATGAAGAAAACCAGCTTCAATCCTACTTCCTGATTCCCCCCCCCCTTCATGAATGAGTCAAGATGGTGGAGGGCAAGCTGCAAAGGTTGCAAATTGCTTATTTCTTTTAATGTATATATGAAACAGGAGCTTCGTCTTTGATTCATGTTCATATGGTGTTTATTGGATGAAAAATCTTGTATCGGTCGAGGCTAGTTGGCGGAAGGGAAGACGGAAATAATGATATTCGAAGACTTTTTCAGAAGCTTAATGTTTGAGCCCATAGGTAATAAAACTGAGATAAACATTCTTTCAAAAAGAAAAGACACTTGATAGGAAAGAAGCCTTGGAATGCTTTCGGTTTACGTTTTTGATTATCCAAATCCAAGGGAAACTGTCGGCCCCGTGAAGGAAAGAATCTGCGAGCATAAATAAAGGGTTAAAACAAAAAGAATGATCCGTTAGGTAGCTAACGGTTCGGGATTTTGAACCCGACGTGAATCGAACACGCAACCTTCTGATCTGGAGTCAGACGCGCTACCATTGCGCCACGGATCCGCTGGTGCTCCTAGTCGCATATGCAAAGTTTTTGACATTAAACTTGACGCAAAACTCAAATTAAAAACAGCAGTAAAAAACGGGAAATCTATTAAAATAAAATACACAAACATGATTAAATTTGGAGAGTCAAGTATTTGTATTTCTTATGTTTTATTTAGAAGGTTCAATAATAAAGTCATATGTCTGCTGGTCAAAAAAAAAAAAATAAAGTCATATGTAAAATTAGTTCTTTTAAATAATAAATGTTTTCCTTCTTGGTAAAAAAAATAAATGTTTTATTTGCATACACGTGTTTACTAAAATCTGATCACAAAAATAAAAGTCGCACCTACTCTTTTGGTTAGAAATTTGTTTAGAAAAATTGTGGGAAAAAAAACTCCTATTAAAAACAAGGACCTGAATTTTCCCATTTTTTAAATCCCTCCTCTGTATTTTGACCAAAAAAAAAGATCCCTCCTCTGTAATCCTTTCCTTCCCCTACCAAAAAAAGTGAAGTTAAACATGAAATTCAGCGTCTAGGAAAAATGACACAGGACCCTAATTTGTTTCTTTTGTTGTCAGCACTCGGAAGGGAAAGAATCAGCAATTCTAACCGCCCACCCACACGAGTCTGTACCTTGAATCACTATGACCGCGATCTGTCCCATTCATAGTTGGACTGGCATCACGGAAGAGTCACTGCTCTATTGTATCCTTAATTTGCCGCTTTTGGTGGTCAACGGCCACCATTTCCCAGAATCACCAAAACGCTCAAATCGCTAATCCAATCCTCTTTCTGGGTTTTGCTCTTCCTCTAGTTCTCTAATGGGTCGTAAACCTCACGACCCGGAGCCCACTCTTCCTCGTCGCTTGATCCTCTTTTTGGTTTGCTTGGTTTCGTGCGGTTTGGTCTACGCCTTCGCCTCGGCAGTGCTCACAAACATAGGGACCTCTCCCGTTGCGGAGTTGGTTGGAGATGGCGTGGCAATGGAGAATTCTGTGGAAGGTTATGGGGGATGCTGTAGAGGAATTGAAAATCTGGAGCTATGGGGTGCCGCTGTGAAGTGGGGTTCTGAGTTTAAATTTAATAATTCCGAAGATTGCTGCAACGCTTGTAAATCCATGTGTACTGGGAACGATGGACCGTGTCTCTGTGATTCGTGGGTGTTTTGTGGGAATCGTGAGACTTGCGGATCTAAGTTCGGCGAGGTAAGTGATAGTGAATTTGTTTGGCTAGCTGTTGGATTTTCGCTTGGCTTGATTTTGGATGGGCTTGGTGATGAATCATAGTTGCTGAACTAGATGACTATGACAGATTCTTGTTATACTGGAAATTAATTTCCCTTTAGTGGGAATGACTTCGGAGGAGTATGCATGCAGTATGTCAAGTACAGTATATTTGTTGTTGCGTTTGAAGAAACGATCTATCGTATTCATTCAGTTCCCTGTACTGCCCCCAGAAAATTGCACATTCCTCCGTGTGATTGATGCATAGATCAATCTTAGATGTTTTTTGGATTTTATCTCTCTTTAGATTTTGCTTTAGCCCCATCATATAACCTCATTTTTCCAGTGCTGGTTGAAGAAACAAAAGGACAGCTTGGCTCCCGCACGACAAGAAGCTGGGGGAAAAGTTAGTTGGACTTCCGGTCTCATCTTTGGAAAAGGAGAAGTAAGACAAGAATGTTTACTTTTCTATATCTTATTGTGAATGCATTCATTCATAAATGTTATTTTCCCTTCGTGCGACAAAATTGACTCGATAATTATCGGTTTAATATCCATGGAACTGACAGAAGCTCTAATATTTTCCTTCACATCAAATGTACTGTCTTAAAAAAGCACGCTCAACCAGACAGGGAGCTTTCCAAACATTGGGGGACTAGTTTTCTGCTTGATGGATGTATGGCTTTTAATTGTTACTCGGTATTTTTGTAACCTTGTTTACTTTATTGACCCTTGGGTGTCAATTTGGATTGATACAATTGATGCATTCACGATTGGGTAGTTTAGAGAGGCGCAGGAAGTGGACAAGGGTGGGGGAAGTGGACAAGTGGATTGGGAAAAATCATCCGGTTTTTCACGCTGATCGCTGGAAACATATTGAGGATTAAGGTAAAGGGGGTAAAAGAAAGAGAAAAAAGATGTTGACCTTAAAACAGCTTGTTGGGAATGTTGAACAAACTGGGCTATTATCCGTCCTCTTTCGAAGTGGAATTGACGAGACTATGTGGACCTGAATCTTTCTTTCTTTCTTTTTTTTTTTTTAATTGTTCAGCATATAGAGGTCTTTATACTTGAGATGCCAAGACATCCAGGGCATGATTTGATGGGTCCCCTATTTACTGATCTGAGTAAGACACCGTTTTTTTTTTTTTTTTAATTTTTGCAGGGTATCATTGAATTGGAAACAGAACACGGAGCTCTTCGCGTCAAAGTAAGTGCTCAAGCTTGAGGGAGTTCCAAAATGCTGATGCTTCGATTCTATAGATTTTTTAGCCTTCTTTCTTGTTTTCTGATATGAGTCTGTCATTACCTTCTTCCTTGGAGTATATGCAATGAATTTATAGTGTTTGTTGTTGATCTGTTTTTGCTTATCTAGTCTCTAAATTATAATCTTCTTCCTTTTAATAAGCTTACCTTCAACATAGTTCTGGGAATAAACTCTGAAGCGTCAATTTTTCATGTCTTATTTTTTCATGTGACGCAGCTTTTCCCCGACTGTGCTCCACGCTCAGTGACCTACATTCTAGAGTTGCTGGCTTTGCGCCATTGTGCGGGGTGCCAATTTTACCGTGCAGAAGGCCGAGGCCAATCATGGGATGCAGAAGGAAACCACTTAAAAAATGTAAGATCGAGACAAATCATAGATCTTAACATAGATTGATCTATATTACTTCTGCTATTATCTTGTCTGAAATTCTGAAGCAAATCCTCTGTTTTCGACAGGCTCCTTTTGGTCCTCCTTCTGCATTAATTCAAGGAACCTTGGAAGCACAGGGAAACCCATTTAAGAAAATACCAGTGGAAGACTGTCCAACAATAAGAAGGGGTTCTATTGCTTGGGTTGATGGAGGACCAGAATTCTTCATAAGCCTTGCTAACCATGGGGAGTGGAGAAAAGCATACACAGTTTTTGGTTCTGTTCTTCCAGAAGACATGAGTATAGCCGAGAAAATTGCTGCACTCCCCACAGTTTCTGATGTTTGGAACAATATTAATGTCTCTGTCTTGGAAAAACCCGTTCCCTTGTTGCTACGGAGAATCCGGAAAAGCCCTGCAGATATCGACACCAATGCAAATTCAGATTAGAAATCCATTTTTGCAAATATGGATTTGACAATTTTGGCTTGTAAGTGCATACGTGCTCCATTAACTTCATTTGGGAATTGTAGAGCTTATAAGAAAGGAAATTTAGAGTTCTACTTTCTTCTTTGAGCGAATATACTTCATAATCATATAAATCAGCATGCGTGGGGGTGCATTAGCAGCAGCCGACTAATGAGATACGGACTGTTTCTTTACCGGCGGCTAGGCATATTACCAAAATACAAAGCAAATAAACGAACATTTACTTTGTGAATATTTCCAGTCGTTTAAATGTGTCGTTTTTTAGTTCTGCGTAGCGGAATATTTGCATTGTGTGCACTAATTCCTTATCACATAAAGGTTTAGATCAGGTCTTTCAATGAACAAGAGGACGGAGGAAAACAACAGAATCGAAGCAGTAAAAAAGAAAGATGCTATTTTGCTTGTGACATAAACTTGGATCAAAGAAAGAATACAGAGGAAGAGAAGAGATCCATATGAATAACAGTCCATTTTTTCACTACATAACAGAAGCGTACAGCAAATTTTTATAGACAACGGAACAACATTATCTGAAACCATGCGACTCACCAGAAACTTTTACGCAATTCCAACTTCTATGCTTTATCAGTTTGAAAATAGAACTAAGTACAACGGACAATGGATCCAAAAGCTGAAATCCCTCGGGAATTTCTAAACCAAATACAGAGAATAACTAGGACTAATCACTTTTTAGATCTATTAAAAGGCCTATGAGAACAGAAGTTGCTCATATCACAGATTGCTACAAAAGGAGCCGTCAGAATCCTTAATTACATTATATAACAGATAGAACTGCTGCCACGCTAAGACGGTCAGATGTGGGGCGACTTTGCAGCCAATTCAAGCCATGGCATGGATTCGTTTGACTTATTTGGAACCGCCATGGGGTTGCTTGTTTGATACGGTGCTCTGGCGGCAATCCTACAAGGACAAGAAATGGTATTCACTAGAATCAACGACCTCTTGTACAAAGGGACTGAGGGGTTATGTATGTAAACAGATACACCAAGGATCGGGAAATAATTCTTGATTTTGAGTATCCTTGATTTCTTAAGTGGGCTCACCTGTCCTTTCTCTTCTCCAAGAAACGATGAAGCGAAGCTTTTCTAGCAATCGGAAGGTCTGTAAGGAAAGGAAGTTATGATTAAAAAACGCCTAACAGTGACACAAATCATCCATCCATTAAATATTATAGTGATGGAAAGAAAATTACCACCAACCACAGGTCCAGATGGTGACTGAGGACTCCCTTGAACCAAAGTGTTGCAAATATGAGGAATATTATTTACGTTAGGAGAAACTGGCCTTTGGGAATCTGAAGAAAATCCAGTTGAATTATGAGGAAACGATGGCTGGCTCTGAGGAAAAGCATAAGCAGAGCTGTTGTTCTGTATAGGGGATGATGTTCCTTTGCTGGCAAAGGCCAAGATCTCCATGACTTTTTCAGCAGGAAAATCATCCAACACGAAAACTTGCCCACCATAAAAGATTGTCATCTGCGCAGCTCTAGGCTCCTTAGCGACAGACTTAGGTACACTGTACATCATGATAGTTAAAAATCATCAGAGTCATGAACTAGTACAGTCCTCAGGTCTCTGGAGGAATTGTATGGATCCGTAAAAGGCTCCAAATTGACTTAACACACCTGGAATTTGCCATCTTTGGAATCTCTTCTGAGGAGAGATGCGGAAATAAGTTCATTGTAGAGAAGCTTTGCGGTGTTCTATCGTTCTCCTTGGTAGGGAACAAGTTCATGGTTGTTGCGGACTCACAAGATATCTCAGCTAAATCTGTCAGCGATTTTAAGTTCAGGCAATTCAGGAATTTTGACGATACACAAAAGCCAAATTTTCTCTACTGAAAATATCCGAAATCTTATCGTTTTTTATCTTCCAATTTAATCTTATGGAGTTCAAAAAGTTAAAATTGGGATACAAAGTTATGCCCAGCCTAGGAATGACGAAATTTTAGAAAAAGCCCCAAACATCTTCAGTTTACTACAGTTATGGTAATTTTACTTCACAAAGACCATAAAATTTCGTAACTCGTAATCTAAACAAGTTGTTTCCTAGGAATATAAAAAGAAAAGAAGCTGCAAGCGATACTTTCAAAGAAGACCGTAAGCAAAAGGCCAAAAAATTCAGAAATGATAGGGCGAGCGGGAAAAATAAATTTAATCCATACCACTTCCTTCGACGCCCGAAGTCATATCGCGACTCCAGAGGGAAAAGATCCCCGAGTATTCACTACAAAAATTCCAAGAAAACGTCGATCAGCCGGCAACTTCACCAGCCTCTGGTCGGAAAACTCCAAGTACTGTGATGAATACCGAGAAAACAACGTAATTACAGCCAGAAGAGAAACAAACCAAGGAGCAGCTTCAGAGAATTCTTGAAATGGATGGTTTCGAGGGTGGATCTAGGTCGGTTAGGTTACTTCTATCGATGAAAGAGATGATTGGAGGTTGTCGAGAACCTTGTTTTGCACTCAATGAAGCTATTGAGACGGAGAAAGTGTGGATTGGCATTATATAATTGGGATGGAGGGTGGCAAATTAAAGCACGAGGAATATGTGACTGTTGGAATCGGAGCATGTTTTTTTGCTTCGTCTCCTTTTATGGCACAGTAGGTGAATACTTAAATAAAATTTATTATTCACGTGATTCCGCCACGTGATCTTTGCGTCTCTTTAACGGAAACGTGAAAGGCTGTCGTTCACTTTCTCCACGGCTTTTACCTGATTGCCCTTCTATTATTGAATTTGGATCCGATAACATGATATCCATCTCCGACTCGCTGTTTAAATTTTAACTAATTTTAACGGGTAGTAGATACTCCTTCCATTCCTTATTATAAGAGACATTTAGTGCTTATGGCATGTTCTTATATATAAGAGACATTTAAAAGTTGTCTCTACTTTTTTGTGTTGATTTCCTATTTTACCCATATTTATTGTCTCAAACTCACACTCTCTCTCCTTCCCACTTCTCTTTCTTTTAATAAATTACCATTGTTCTCTCTCCTTATTAATGAGGGTATTTTTGGAAAAAAAAATTATACTTTTTACATATTAATTGTTCTTAACTAATTTTAACTGTTTTTTTTATCAACGTAATTCGGTTATTCGTCTCTTATAATAAAGAACGGAGGGAGTAGTTGTAAGTTGAAAATATTACTCCTTCCTAAATTATTAAGTCCTATTCTTATTTAGAACTGGTTTGATTTTTATTTTAATAGTAAATATAAGATTTTAATTTATTTTATCTCTCATATTTATTTATTTTTTCTAAAACAATCCTTATAATAATAATAATTTTAACCAATATAATTGATTAATAAAGATATTTTAGGAAAGACAACACCTGTTTATTACTAATGAATAACTTGACTAATTTTTCTAATCCACTCAAATTAGTCAACTAGCTCTTATATTAAGGATTGGAAGTAGTATAAGATCTAGATAATTAATTTATAATAAATATTAAGAAGGTAGCAAACAATAAATATTAATAATTAATTAAGTTAGTTTTTTTTAGTATACTCTTTCGATCCTTAATATAAGACCCATTTAACTAATTTGATTGGATTAAGAAAATTAGATGAGTTAGTTAATTATAAAAAATATGACACGTTTTTCCTAAAACACCATAATCATCTTTTTTAATACCCCCTCTCCCTTTTTTATTTGATTATGGTTGAGAGAGTATCCATAGGGGTAATTTAGAAAAAATTGATAAATATGAGAGATGGGAATATTTAGAACCAAAACCAACTCAACAATTGGGTCCTATATTAAAGACTGGAGGAGTATATACCTTGATTTCCTTAAATCACTTTTTTTAATCATGTACATTAAACTATTATTTGATTAGGAGCCATTTAATATGTGTAATTAATAGAGATACTTTAGGTAAAAAATTATAAATTTGAAAAAAAAAAGTAAATTAAGATCTTGTATTTAGTATCAAAATAAAGTTCTTATTTAGTTTTTATATTTAAAACCAGAGGTAGTATAATTTTGTTTTAAATAAAGCACAATACAAACTAACATATATTCATCTTATGCGATAACTATTTGTACTAATTTATGGAAATAATATAAGTACTCCTCTAGTCCTTAATATAGGATCCAATTCTTGAGTTAGTTTTGGTCCTAAATATAAGATCCATTTCTCATATTTATCAATTTTCTCTAAATTACTCCTATAGATACTCCCTCAACCATAATCAAATAAAAAAGGGAGAGGGGGTATTAAAAAAGATGATTATGGTGTTTTAGGAAAAATGTGTCACTTTTCTTATAATTAACTAATTTACCTAATTTTTTTAATCTAATCAAATTAGTTAAATGGGTCTTATATATAGGATCAGAGGAGCATTTTAGAATATGAAGACAACTGATATGCCCCATGTACATTGTAACGGGGGCTCGCAAAAAGAAAGAAAGAAAGTACATTGTAATGGGGTATTTGACTACATTACGGTACTACTTCGGTTCTTAATATAAAAATTAGTTAACCAATTTGAATAGATATAAAAATTAGTTAAGTTAAATACTTATACTATATAGGTGTTGTCTTTCATACAATACTCTTATCAATTGAATATATTACTTAAAACTATTATTACTATAAGGACTGCCTTGAAAAAAATAAATAAATATGAGAGACAAAATAGATAAAGATTTTTTATTTAAAATCAAATTAAAATTCAAACTAAATTTTATATTAAGAATAAAGTTATCTTTATTGATAAAATGCGTTTAAAACAAAATGTGATTCGTGGAGGAGGAGGCCAGAAGAGTAACGGCGCAGGTGGGGGCAGAGTCAAGGAGGAAAGTAGAAGCGCGTGCAGGTGGGGGAGTGAGAGCAGTTCAAGAGAGGAACGTGGCAGAGGCAAGTAGATGCCGTGTCGGGGCTAGTGGGCGTCAAGGATGAGGTGAGATGGACCTCTTTCTTATCTGCCAAATGCGCACGTTGTAATTGTGTATGGAGCATGGCAACGGGTAGCTATGGGTCATTGTTTCTGGTTTGGCAGGACAACGATTTCCCAATGAACGAATGAATAGAGTGAGGAGAAAACAAGGATGAGGGAGTCGTGAGATTCCAAGTAAAGATTATTAGTATGTCTAATAATAAATCACCAGTTGTTATTTTTTTTTAGAATTTATCATTACAAATTGTTTTGTTGTCAATGAAATTTTTTTAATAATTATGTTGATTTCTTAAAATTTCAGTGCAAGTCTCCGACAAGACGGCCATGGCCTTTGAGTAGTACGCAATTAAAACTTTTTTAAATTTTAAAACGTCATTTAGTTACATGCAATTAAAACTTTAAGGGAGTCATTGGACTATATGCAATTCATCTAAATTTTAAGAATTTCACAATTTTTTTCTCAAGAAAGACCTGCTGAAATAATGATTGGAAATTATCCATATATCCAATATATATACCAACTTTGCGTTTTATTTAAGAACAATTATAATAAAATTTGAAAAAAAAGAAAATAATTATCAACAAGTTTTAACAACAAATGAGCGGTTACCACTCACTATTTTGAATCTTGTCATTACAAGTTCCTCTGCTATTATCGTAACTTTGTAGTAATTATATTTACTTAAGACTTCATAACAACTTTCTCTTTTATTTAATATTGATAGGCCCCAAAATTTAATGTTTGAAAACAAAATATTATATTTATAAGCCAACCAATTTTTGCATTTATGAGTTGAGTAGCAATATTTATAAATACTAAATTCTTTAAATTTAAAACGTGTTAATATTATATAAAATTAAAAAACCTATTTATATTTAATTTTCTTGCTTTGCCATCTATCTAATATATGATAATTTTTCTCTTATTTGATGTGGGATTAATATAATCTTTGGTCTTTTAATATTCTCATTTTAGTTTTGATCCTTATAGTTTTAAATTATAGGTTTTGTTTTCTTAAGGGCAAAATGGTATAAATTTTTATTCAATTACAAGGCCCAATATTTTAAATAAAAAAACTAAAGATAAAAAATTATTGTTAGAAATTTAAGAGACAAAAATTAAAATAAGAATAAATTTGAGAAATAAAAATTGTACAAAGTATTGACCTTTTGATACGTCCATCCTTTTTTATTTTAGCTAAAATATACATTTATTCTTTTAATTTTGTACAAAATTTTAATTTGGTCTCATAACTTAAAAAAAAAAAAAACTCTTAGTCCTTTAAGTCTAAATTCTTTTTAAAAAAATAATGAGATTAAGATCTTAAATGTTGATAAAATATTCTCAAATACTAACATATTAAATTTAATTTTTAAAATATCTATGGTTGTTACAAAAAATATCATTGAAGTCTAATAATTTTAGGATCAAAGGAATAAATGTATATTTTTTAAAGTTAAAGAACCAAATTAAAATTTTATAAAAAGTTAAAAGATCAAATATCTATTTTAGTTTTTTATTTTTTATTTTTGAATATTCCAGATTTTGTCGCGCTCTCTCATGGTTTTGCCGCGCAGGTCAAAGCATAACCGCTCAAACCCTTGTTCAGCTCGTCACTGTCCCCTGCAGCAACAGCCTCAAATCAAAGTTGCTCTCTTTATCTACGAGTCTTCTGAACTCGATTTAATCTACGATTACAGTCGAAATTGATGGTTCAATTCCACGAGCATATAATCACAGACCTTCTTGATGATTCCAATGGTGGGCTTGTCATCCTTTCCTCTGGTCTCTCTCTACCCAAGCTCATTGCCTCTCTTCTCCTTCTACACTCTTCTTCTCAAGGAACTCTTCTTATCCTCTCTTCCTCTCCATCTTCCCTCAAATCGAAAATCTTTTTCCACCTCAAAGCTCAGAATCCCCAATTCCAACAAATCCCCTCTGAAATCACTGCCGATCTTCCTGCTCACCACCGCCATTCTCTTTACTCTTCCGGATTAACTTTTTTCATCACACCCAGAATTCTAATTGTGGATCTTTTAACGAACAAATTACCCACATCCAGTATTGCTGGGCTTGTCATCCTGAATGCCCATTCACTCTCTGAAACCTCCACTGAAGCATTTATAGTTAGAATCATCCGGTCTTTTAATCGAGATGCATATATTCGGGCTTTCTCTGATAAGCCTCACGCGATGGTATCTGGGTTTGCTAAGGTGGAGCGAACTATGAAGTGTTTGTACATCCGGAAGTTGCACTTGTGGCCAAGGTTTCAGGTGTATGTTTCGCAGGAACTGGAGAAGGCCCCCCCGGATGTGGTGGATATAAGGGTGCCAATGACTAAATACATGATGGGGATTCAGAAAGCCATCATCGAGGTTATGGATGCATGTCTAAAGGAGATGAGGAAGACTAATAAAGTTGACGTTGAGGATTTGACGGTGGAAAATGGATTGTTCAAGTCGTTCGATGAGATTGTGCGGAGGCAGTTGGATCCAATTTGGCATACTTTGGGGAAGAAGACAAAGCAGCTGGTGTCAGACCTCAAGACGTTGAGGAAATTGTTAGATTATCTTGTAAGGTACATGCATTACTTGCTCTTACCGTCTGCATACGTTATTAATAGTTTTTAGAGGTTTGTGCTATATATTATTGTAATTTTTTCATAAGAAAAAAGAGGCTACATGAAGCATTTTGCGATGCCTGTAATGCCTTCGGTAATCAGTCATTAACAAACATGCGTGAACCCCTTGATTTTCTGGGAATATTGTAATTATAGCAACTCTTGACATTCTTATTAGTTTGTTCTTCTGAATAATATTTTATGAATAGGGAATGATTGAGTGACTTTCTCTGGATAGGTATGATGCAATAACTTTCTTGAGGTATTTGGACACATTGAGAGTGTCAGAAAGCTTTCGATCAGTTTGGATATTTGCAGAGGGGAGCTATAAGATATTTGACTATGCAAAGAAACGTGTTTATCGCCTGGAGAGATCAGATGGTGCGAAATTAAATGAGTCAAATAAGATTGCGAAAAGCAAAAAGAGAAAATGCAAGGGGGATGGCAATGACAGTGAAGAAGGTCAGAAAATATATTGTTTTTGCAGATAAATCTGGCATAAATGTTGATTCTGTTGCGTGACTTACTTAATCATCTTGGTCGAAGAAAATTAACATAAAAAAGGGAAAAGACATGTTGTACACTCCTATGCTTTTTGGATGCCATTCTTTGAGCCTATGTTTGTAATTGCATGTGAAGCAGTTTCGTCAAAGAGTTCAAATACTGGGTTAGCTTTGGAGGAAGTTTTGGAAGAAGCGCCAAAGTGGAAAGTCTTACGTGTGAGTCAGTGAATTCCAATTCTACAAGTCTCAGTGTTATGATTTATTCTTTCAGTAAAACAAAAAATTTCATTAGTGTGCAAGAGGGAGAATATAGTGAGGGAGGAGAGTTAGAATAACTTGTCCTTATAGGAAGGGAACTTGAAAATAAATCTAGCAAAGAAGCTTTCTATGCTCTTTCCATGTTAGCTGGGAAACTTTCTTAAAAACCCCATTAAATTTACCAATTAGAGGCCATAAATACAATTATATCCCATAATGCGAGGACAAAAAAATTCTGTTGAAAATGTGTGCTTTCTATGCATGCTAGATAATAGCATGAATGGAACATTGCCTTAATAGTATCCTTATTAGTTCAAATCCTTTCAAACCTATTATAAACATCTGCTTGAAGGTAGAAGGACAAGCTTTGTATTTACCAAAAAAAAAAAGAGTTATTTTATAAGAAAATAGCTGCCCTACAACACAGGAACCTATAGGCACATGTTCATTTGATACTATTTGGTACAGAAGTTAGCTATGAATTGTTGGCATCACTTCAACTTTCTTCTTCCTCTTTCTGGTATATTTTGAGAATTTGGATGGCTTGACTTGATGAAGTTTTTTGTAGACAGCCGTTGATTATGGTAAGCTTCTGATTGTTTGAGCTGAATTTGATCTGCCCATGTCATATCAGGAGGTTCTTGAGGAGATAGAAGAGGAAAGACGAAAGCAAGGTGTGTCAGGGGAAGATGTTTTGAGTGAAGGTGAAGGTAATGATAATGGAATTGTACTAGTGGCATGTAAAGATGAACGTTCATGCTTGCAGCTTGAAGAATGCATCATCAACAGTCCAGAGAAGGTTTTTCTTACTTCTCTGCATTTGATCTTATAAAGTTTATTCCAAGTGACATTTCCCCCCGCGTTTTCATGTCTTCACTTGGTTGAACATTAATTTTTAGGGATGTAATTTGTATTGGTTTTTTGCTTACCAGCTGTATCCCACATTGGCAAACATGGCCGGATTGGTGCTGCTATAGAGCACTGATGTGTGCAGAAAGGGTAGGAAAGGGGGAGAAACTGAGGGAAATAGGGAGAGAGATAGATAGACGAGAGAGAGTAACTCCATTCGTTAATCTCGTAAGCCTCCTTACAATTAGTCCTAAGCCACCTATACTAACAGTAATCTCTCCTAGTTACCCCCAACCAACTCCTAACTAACCCTCTTATTTATTGTATTTACATATCAAACACATACTTCACCTAGGAAGAATATCGCTTGATAGTTTTATATAGAGTTTGAGGGAAAGCTAAGTGATGTAGAATCATTTTGGTTGACATTGTCTATGACTATTTGTTTTGAAAAGCTAAAACCTAAAGCTGTTAAGTGAAGGCTTGTGATAAGTTATATATTTGTCTCTAGTCCTTTTGCAAGAGTCTTTGGCGCAAAGCTGCAAGCAATTAATTAAGATGTTTATTCCTTGGAAGATCATTTGTTAGTTGTGAAGGGCTGTTAGGCTATATGAATCACTATTATATTTTGTTCATCTGCACTGTGATTTCTTATTTGTTCTGATGATGATGCAATATTCGTCGCAGAATAATGTTGAAAATTAATTGGTATTCTATTTGATTGTTGGATATAGCTTGCTACATAATTCTTTGTTATTATGATTGAAGGTGGCATGTTCAGATTGATTTTTGCAATGCTTTTTCCTCTGGTCCTTGTCATTCTTGGTTGGTAGCATATAAGAATGTAAGAAAACTGATTTGCTCACCCTCTCTTGTGTTTGTGCGTGTGAGTGTGTGAAGGTCATGGCTGAAGAATGGAGGAAGTACTTGCTAAGCAAATTACAGCTGCGGGATGTAGTGCGTCAGAAAAAGAAGCCAAAGGATCCCAAAGGTTTTGGGGTTCTTGATGGAGTTACTCCTATGGCACCTGTACAGAATGCTGAAGCCAGCATTAGCAAGCAGGAACATGATGCACTCTTGGCAGCAGCATCTGGAATAAGAGATCTAGCTGAAAAGGATTGTATGGTTGAAGATCCTCTGGGACTTGACTCTGGTGGACGAAAACGTGGAAAAGGAAAGGGTAAAGTAGGCAGTAAAAATGGGTCGGTTACTGCTGATGGCTCTGGAGTCCATAACAGTAAAAAGGCATCAACAAGTGATAATTTAAGGATTTCTGACTCAAAAAATAATGACCGAATGGAGGAAACTAATCCAGTTGGTGCTGGTGGGACAGCTGTAGACAACTTAGTTCTTCGGAGGCATACTAATGCTAATGCTGCAGGATCCATGAATGCAAAACCATTACCACCTGTTCATTTTTATGCCTTAGAAAGTGATCAGCCAATACTTGATGTATTACAGCCTTCAATAGTTATTGTATACCATCCAGATATGACCTTTGTTAGGGAAATTGAAGTCTACAAATCTGAAAACCCTTCAAAACGGTTGAAAGTCTATTTTCTTTTCTATGAAGATTCTACTGAGGTGCAAAAGTTTGAGGCTAGCATACGCCGGGAGAATGGTGCATTTGAATCTTTAATCAGGCAGAAATCTATGATGATGATTCCAGTTGACCAGGTTTTTCTCGCTCTTATTAAAATGTTCTTTTACTTCTTATGTTCATCACGGTGATTTCCCCTTTTTTGGCTTGGTGCACTTTGCTTGCTGTTTATCAGGATGGTCGTTGTTTGGGATTGAATACTATTGCAGAGGGAGACTTAACGACCTCCCAAAACTCAGTAACAAGAAAAGCAGGTGGGAGAAAGGAGGCTGATAAAGAAACGCAGGTCTGTTGTTTTTATAATTATCTTTTTCATCCATGATATCTGATTCATTTGCTTGCCAGCTAACTTGTATTCTGGGAATTTAACTTTTCAGGTCATAGTGGACATGAGGGAGTTCATGAGCAGCCTTCCTAATGTTCTTCATCAAAAGGGAATGCGCATTATTCCAGTGACCCTAGAAGTTGGTGACTATATTCTCTCACCATTTATTTGTGTGGAAAGAAAAAGCATCCAAGATCTCTTTATGAGCTTCACATCAGGACGTCTTTACCACCAGGTGGAAACAATGGTGCGATATTATAGGATACCAGTACTGTTAATTGAGTTCTCACAGGATAAGAGCTTCTCATTCCAGGTTTGCTGATCACAATTCATCTCTATGTAAGCCGCAATCTAGTGTCCTGTTGTCACAATAGAGTTGCTGGCTAGTCCAAATGCGGAATTCGATGCCTGAGAATGCTTGGCCTTTAATTTATAGCCCAACATAACAGGTCTAGATGGAAAATGTTAGGTCATGCTGATTTCTATGCAAGCCTAATTAAGTATTATAATAATGACCTGGTTTGATTGGGTTGATAAGGAATATATTTTGTTTGTTATCCTTCATAATTATAAATGTTTAAACATGCACCTCTACAACATATAGTACAGCATTTTTGTTATGTTTAACTGTGGATGACTTTAGGTGGTGTTTATTTGTTTTCCAGTCTGCAAGTGATATTGGTGATGATGTGACGCCAAATAGTATCATATCAAAGTTGTCATTGCTTGCTTTACACTTTCCTCGGCTACGAATAATTTGGTCTCGAAGTTTGCATGCTACTGCTGAAATATTCGCATCACTGAAGGCAAATCAAGATGAACCAGATGAAGCAAAGGCAATGAGAGTGGGTGTTCCCTCAGAAGAAGGAATTGTGGAAAATGATGTGAGGTAAGTGGTCACTTCCTTTGAGGTTGAGAGATTAAATCGTGCTTCCGGATCAGGTGTGAAAGTAGAAATAATGGAACTGCAGAACCTGCATATTGGCTCTTGTAGTCTTGTGTTAGCACAAAATTTTGTTGCTTCCTGTTTCGGTCCCTTCCCTGTGAGGGACTTTGAAAAAGGCATTGCCCTAGTGTTTAGGCAAGTGTTCCCAAGTATGGTTCGTAGTATTAAATGTAGTCAATGAGTTTGTGTTGATTGGTTCATCTTACGCCTAGAATTCGAAGTTAAAGGTTAATTACTGTGTGACAGGGCTGAAAATTACAACACGTCTGCTGTGGAGTTTCTGAGAAGACTTCCAGGTGTAACAGACTCAAACTACAGGACCATAATGGAAGGATGTAAGAGTTTGGCTGAGCTTGCTATTCTTCCTGTGGAGAAGCTGGCCGAACTCATGGGTGGTCAAAAAGCTGCTCGCACTCTTAGAGACTTTCTTGATGCTAAATATCCAACCTTGTTGTGAGCTATGTAGATACTTCAATTCTTTTATGATGGGATTATTCATTAGGGCTATTCCATTGGTAATTGTCTCTCATGTTGTACATTAGTCGATTGATTTTTCAGATTCATAGTATCATTTTTATTTTAGAAATGTATTCCCATTGTCTCACTTTGCGTGCAGCGCGTAAATTTTCAGATTAAATAATTTGTGGTTTTTATAAAAAGGTTTAATTTGATTTTAGTCCCTTTAAATGACATGTTGCTCTTCAGTTTTAAAAAAATTGAGGATTGGGGGAGGATGTACCTATGGTGGAAAGTACATCAGATCTTTTTAGATTTTTTAATTTGCAAGCCCTTGCGAGAATAAATTCAACTAGAGTAAGCAAACTATAATTAGTTGAGTTCGTATAGGATACTTACACTAAAATATTTTAAAACACCTTGTAATTAAAGATCGAATTCGGTTGGATGGTAAAAAAAAAGGGGACAAAAATGAAGAACTTCCCTTCCATTATGTAGCTCGTGTTTCGATGGATAGAAAAGCAACTGGATGCAGGCAGAGCTTTGAATACTGTATGGTATGACCGTATGAGAAAAAAGGAAAGAAGAGAAGAAGAAAAATTTTAATAAATTTTATTTAAAAAATTGGAGAAATAAAGTTTTGAAATTTTAATAAAAAAATAATATAAAAAAGTAATAAAAATTAATTAAAATTTTTTAACTCTATTTTTTTTTCATTTTTTTAAATTGGACTTGTTAAAATTTTTCCTTCGTTAGTTCGTTCTCCTCCTCTCATTTTTCCCCGTGCCAAACGGATAGTTAAGAACTTGCAGCGCTCCGTTATCGAATTGCGAGAAAAGACAGTTCTTCCGTATCACTGCCTTTCACTACAAGGGGCGCAAGCCGCGCGCACAGGAGCTCCACGAGACCACGACATCCAGCCTGTTTCGTGTGGCGCTTTGGAAGGAAAGAAAAGCAACTTAGTGTGATAAGTCAGTTTTAAAATTTAAAAACTATTTGTTACAGTTTTTAATCAATCTGATTTATAGATTAAAAACTATTTTTTTAAATATGATAGTAAAAGTACTTAAAACTTACTTATGACTTATGTAAAAACAATTTTTTAGAATTAAAAGATATTTTTGTCTTTATGTCTATATTGTTCTTATACCTTTCTCTATATATTTCTTATACTTCCAAATCAGTTTTTAGTTATTTATTTTTAACATTCTCTTCAGTGAAAATAATTTTTAATAGCTTTTATAAAATTTTTAATTTTTAATATTATTTTTCATTTTATATTTATATAAATTATGCAGAATATGTCATCCAATTAATTATGTAATATTATTTGGTTTAAAAATTTTGATATTAATATGATTTTTAATTTAAATATATTTTATTTATTAAATAAAATTTTTCCTATTATAATAATATAAAATTATTATATTCTGTAAATTTACATTTTTAATCATTTTTCATTATCTAATAAAACTCATACTCAATTTGGTAATCAGACAAACTAAACTTATTTTTATTCAATTATAATCTAAACAACTTTTTACCCAATCTAACTTTTACAAACTAAATTTTATAAAATATAATCTAAACACAATTCACATTACTCGATTTAACTTTTACCTAATCTAATTTTTTAAAAAATCAAATTAATAATAAGCTGTTTTTTCAATCGCTAATCTAAACGGAACTTTTATAGATTCGAACAGATGGAGTATGTTTGTTTAAGATGAAGATGATACCTGCTACTATGGACTTCTGCTAAGCCTTTTTATTATATTAGATGTTTTAAAACTTGTTGAAAAGATGAGAGTTCTTACAATTAATATTTTTGCTAAAAAACTTTTTACATGATAGTTCTTACAATTAATATTTTTGTATAAATGACATGCGAGTTTTTTTTCCCCCTATTTAGAGTAAGGGGCCCACTCTCTAATCACAAAATTTTGATTTTTTAAAAATTATAAAAAATTTCAAAACTATACCATGGTATTCTTATGAGATATTAAAATGTTATTAACATTAGTAAAAATAACAAAAAAGATATTAAAAATTGCAAAATCCCAAATCAGATATTCTTATACAAATGTATTGTTATTTACAAATCAATATTGTCAAAATCTATTAAAATGTTGTAATAAATTATGAGTTGAGATTTTACAATTTTTAAAGTCCTTTTTGGCCCGAGATTAGGCACTGTAAGCGGTATTAGATAGTGGGGTATGAGCAACCCCTTGCTCTTTTTTATTATAAAATTTAACATCTTTATTGGTACAAGTTTTTTGTATTAATATCTATGAAAGAGATATGCATAACTTAATGTATATCTCATGACTCTAATTGATCTGTTGCTAGGGAAAGAAAAGGTTCTAATTTATCCGGCGTGCTAACGCTTATCACTTGTAATGTTTTCCATTATTGGAAATATACGAGGTCTGGAACTCCCCTCCTGTCAGTTCCCATCATATTTTTCATCTTGCCTTGCTCATTTCTTCAAGCTATTCCCATCCCCCCCCCCCCCCACACACACACAACACATCCTTAAAGACAACTACAAAACCCACTTTTCCCATTTCATTTTCACATCAGCACTCAAAATTTGTCCCCTTCATTGCCTTCCTTGTTCCAAAATTCGACCTCAATCGTCTTTCCCACTACTTTGAATTAATCCCTGAAGAGTTTTCCTCGTCGTAGGACAGCGATACAACTAAGTAAGATGAAAATCCATTCTTTTACATTCTGCTCTAGTCAACTAGTTTAGATACACTTCTCTTTTATTTACTTCAGCTAAAGCACTTGCAATTCTACCTTTGATTGTAAAATGTTTGTGCCTGGTTCGTTAGCACCCATCTCAGTCTCTTCTGCTTGATAAGTGGAGTGAACCCCATAGAGCACATAGAAGATTGTAATGAGGCAAGACCATATAGCAAACCGTTGGAAGGAGAGGACTTTCAGTGTTGTCATGAGGAAAATGTTGAGAAAGATGGAGATAGCAGCAGGCCACGGCATGAACGGCACAGACCAGTCAGGTTGGGGAAGATAAGGCACTGTGTACTGGAAGAAGCCTGTGATGGTAAACATGAAGCCACCAAACAGAGGAAGACCCCACCATTGCTGCTTGAACTTCCAAGAAATGGAGAAGCCAAGTGAAGTTGCAGAGAGTAGGAAGAGGAACAAGAGAGTCATAAGTGGCGGGGCATGGCTAATAATTGCGTATCTGCGATATATAAGAGCATTGGCCACCAAGTAGAACACTAACAGAGTGCCTATGCTCACCATCTCAACTATTATGTCCAGCTCCGTGAACAGTGCTATAGATGCTGTGCATAGTCCTAGAGACATCATCACATGGCAAAAAAGAGGTTTCAAATTCCAAAGGAATGAACTTCACCACGAAGGGTTTATTTTCCTTTTGGTAGATTCGCTTACCCAGAAAGAGTGTGGCATTCAATGGAGTGCCAGTTGAAGGGTGCACTTTAGCTAACCAGGATGGGACCAGCCTAGCCCTTCCAAGAACACAAAGGTACCTGGCTTGACCTAGCATGGCTACCAGTAGAGAAGCCACTATTCCCAAACTAGCACCTCCTCCTACAAGGTTGCTTGCCCAGTTCCAACCAATCTTAAGGAAAGCCCCAGAAAATGATGCTTTCTCTGAAATCTGTCAAATCATAGAAACAAGATGCTTTGTCAGCTGCTGAATCCACATCATGCTTAAAAGGGAACTTATGAATGATGGCTAGACCTGGTTGTAAGGAACCATGGCGCACAGTGACAAAGCCATTAGGCAATAAATCACTGTTGTTATAAGAACTGAGCCAATAATGCCGATTGGAAGGCTCTTAGAAGGGTTTTTTATCTCTTCGGCCATGGTTGAAGCTGAGTCATAGCCTATGTAGCTGAAGTAGACGATAGCTGCTCCATCAAGAACACCTCGAACACCAAAAGGAGCTAGTCCTTTTGGACTTACCAGGTTCTCTGCACTTCCATTATAGAAACCAGAGACTATGATGAATCCAAAGAAAATCACATGGAAGACTGTCATAATGAGGTTCAATATGGAGCTTTCTTTGGTACTACAGCCATCAAAAAAAGGAAACTATCATTTTCAAAGTCCATAGATAACATTTTAGGGAAAAATTGTCAGTAACATCATTAATGTCTCGGCTTTCCATGATTAGAAATAAAGAAGAAAAATCCAACAAACACAAAAAAGGATAATATATTAAACTTCAATTCTTTATCCAAGACAAGAGGGAAAAAATAGAAAAGAGGGTAAGAAATAGATCAAACCTATGACACAAGCATAGAGTGAGAAGAAGAACAATAGCCACTGCTGGAAAATCCAACATGTTATAGTCCTTCGGCAATTCATGAACTTCCACTCTCCACACATTTGAATCATTTTTCCCAAACGCATAGCTCAAATACTCTGTAAAATTCCTTGCCACTGCAGCGTTGGATAACACATACTCCATCAGTATGTTTGCCCCAGCAAAATAGCCCACAAATTCTCCTGCAACATCCAAGCAAGACTTTATCATGAGAATGAAGTTAAATTCAAAAGTGGTGGAGGAGAGCAAGAAAAGTCCTCAAGAAAGTTTCATACCAAATGTTAATCTTAAATAACTGAAAGCTCCTCCTGCAACTGGGACTTGAACTGAAAATTCAGTATAACAAAAAGAGGAGAGAAGGGCTGATATTCCGGCTATGATATACGATATGAAGACAGAGGAACCAGAGTGATGGAGCGCCACAGGACCAGTTGTAACGAAGACTCCAACACCAAGCATTCCTCCTACACCAAGAGCTACCAGATCATACCACTTGAGCTTCCTCCTCATGTCTGAACCAGACCTGAGCCTCACTTGGTTGAGTTCTTGGTCTGGGGTCCAAGTGGCAAGCATTCTTGTTCTGAGCCTGTGAGGTGTTTGGGAAAGGGAATGGAAATAGCTCGACACGATTCTCATGCCGTTGTTTGCAGTGTGCATATCATCCATTTTTTTTCTTATGTCTAAGCACTGAGTTTCTTGTCTTGAATAAGGAATGCAGTGGAGGTGTTTAAATACGAAATTGAGAGAGGGAATATTGTTCTATTCCTTTCCTAGGAGTTGATTGGTGGGCCTAGCTAATGTCCCAAATCTCCCTAGCCTTTTTGAAAATACCAGCATGTCCTTTTGTGTTTGTATGTTAACAGTCAAGCGCCCCTTCTCCTCTCACTCTGTCACAGCCACAGAGCTTTGAAGAGACTGATAACTTTTCTTGCTTAAAAAAAGAAAAAGAAAAAAGAAAGAGAGAGAGTGAGAGAGAGAATAATTGCACTGACTTATGGCATGACCAAAAACTACATATTTCCTTAGAAATTAGCTTTGTAAAAGGAATCAGGTTTGGAAGACGGACTTTGACATAATCTTTTGGAAATTTCCCTAATGTGAAACTCTGAAAAGATGTCACAGAATCTAGAAAAGCACCAAAATATTACTTCACTAGGACTCAGGATTAGTTGGACTTGATTCTTGGGCAGAACATCATATTGTGATTGTACGGTTGCCCTTAAATAGTTGAAAGTTCCTGCTAATATATGATATTAATTAGAGAAAGGAATCGGCTGTCAGTTCTTTAATGAGATGGAACTATTCTATTTGAACAACTTGGCAGTCCGAGGATTTTATTTCTTATTCAATACGGTTCAAGAATGTTACTGCAGGTGATGGAACCTTATCTTTAGCTTTAATCATTTCTCACCTTGTTCTCTGGGAAGGTAAGTTATAAGATTAGCAAATATCCTTCAGTAAGTTTTCTTTCAACGCAAAATTTCAGAATTCTAACTTTAATTTGATATCACGTACTTGTCAATCACTGTCTAATTCCCATACTTACGGTCACTTAACTTTATGTTAATTGTGATTTGATCTTGAACCATTTTAATGAAGGAAAAAGGATAGGGGGATGAAAAGGACAAAAAGGAGGATAAAAAAGAGAAAAATGATCATCGTTGATTATTTTCACGGGCTCCTAGCTAGCTTCCTTTACCTTCTGTTCCTTTCTCCTTCAATATATATGTGAGCCCCATGAAATTTGCGATCCAATCATACTTCTCATAATCATCAGATATTAATTTACTTAGGCCTTTAATTATGACACATGACACTGACATTGTGCATATACTGATGGTCCATTTTTCGGTATGACAAACCACAGAAGCCCATAATTTTAAAAAGGAATATTTGTTATTGTTCTATATGAAAAAAATTGCTGATATTTTATATTGATAATTCTAGCATCTGGAATCTATCCACTCCCTTCGCCAATATCTGCAACTTTATCTAGATTTGATTTGATTTGCATGAATGTACCCTCTACTGCCTAGTAAATTTACTGATTAATAGGGTATATGCCTAAGTTATTTACCTGTTACGTATGGAATTCTGAGATAACTTTCAGAGCCTACCCATGGAAATCATACCATAAAATATTGATGTTGCTCTTGAAGTTGGGTCGATTCAACGGGGCATCTATCCAATATGGATTGGAAATACTTTATTTGACTTTCGGTTAAAAAACAAATAATTTCAGTGGGGATCCGTTATGGCAGTTATCGGTTTGGCAAAAGTAGAATTTGTTTTTACATACAGGTTAAACCATTTTATCTTGTGACTTTTTCTTTTTTAATTCGAAAGTATGAGTTGAATACGTGGATCAAACTTGGTCATTTCATGTTCCAAAATGAAATTATGAGGGTCACTAGGTGGACTTTGTATGCTGTAATACAAAATAATGGATAAAGCCAACCTCATTGCCGTGGACATTTAATATTACCTCCGATCTTTAATATAAAAATTAGTTGACTAGTTTGAGAAGATTAAGAAAATCAGTTAAATTAGTTATTTGTAATAAATAGGTATTGTTTTTTCTAAAATATCTTTGCCAATCAAGTGTATTAGCTAAAATTATCATTATTGCAAAGACTGTATTGGGAAAAAATGGATAAATATAAGAAATAAAATCGATTGAAGTCTTAAGACTAAAATAAAAATTAAACGAGCTCTTATATTAAGGATCGAAATAATAACTCAAACCATAAATGACTTCATCATCGAAGCTAGTAGACTACAGCTATCATGTTCACTTTGGGTTGGTTGCTTATGGAAGATGACCTCGAAGAAAAAAAGGTTCCACATCCCAAGAAATCATATCTCCGAATATAAAAAAGAAAAACTTTCAACAGTATAGTACTTGATAGTTGAGATAATTACCCAAAAAACTACTCTTTCAGTTCTTAATATAAGATATATTTAACTAATTTGATTATATTAAGGAAGTTAGGTAAGTTAATTAATTATAAAAAAAGTAACACATTTTTTCTAAAACACTATAATCATCTTTTTTAATACCTCTTCTCTCTCTTCTACTTGATTATGGCTGAGAGAGTATCCATAGGGGTAATTTAGAGAAAATTGATAAATATGAGAAATAGGTCTTATATTTAGGACCAAAACCAACTCAACAATTGAGTCCTATATTAAGAACCGAAGGAGTATTATCCAATGCCGACAAACGTCCACTCATAATGTTCACTGGACGAGAATAATGGTTATTAAGTTCACAAAAAATATAATTCCATGTCATGGTTGTGATGCCATGAGCTCAGCTTGTACCGTAAAACAAATGAATCGAGTCGATTTGATTTCATCCATACATATAAACGTCGGCAATAATGAAAGATTAGTAGCATTATGATGAGCATATCAAAATATGTGTGTGTCGCATATGTTTCTGTGTGTATCCGTTGACTTCTTACACTTTGCATTCTGCAACTTGCTGCAATATGTCACAATCATTTGACTCTTGTTCATGCTTGGCCCCATTTATTTTTCCAAAAGTCTACGTAACAGTTAAGCTGTTAGCTTCAAACAGAGGCACTTAGGCTTCAGGCCCATGCACATATTGTGATATGCAAAACGTTCTACATTAGTCAGAGCAAGTGGAGTTTAAAGTACATGAGAGCAAGTGGTAAGCATAATCACATGATTATATTTAAGTGTGTATATATATTCAACGGCACTAAGACAGTGGAATTTCTGTTGTCTTTTGTAATATGACTGGTGGTGAAGTTGCACTGACAAGGGCGGCAAGGAGCAGTGGGAGCCTCTGCTTTTTAAAATGTCCAAAGTGGGTCATCCAAATTTGCCTTGACCTCATTCCTTGCCTCTCCCTCTAGTGGTTGTGCTGGCCACACAGCCACCTTATACATATAATATTATATATATATATACATATATATATTTGTAAAGCTTTCTTTTGTAAAGAGCCTTCATTCGGTCGTATCAAGTGTGAATGAAAGGTGTTTGTTCTTTTATATATATATATATATATATATATATATATGAGTAAACACGGGGGACAAGAGATATACTTAATAATTAAAACAAGAGACAGACAATAGTGAGAGAGAATCACACACCTCGAGAAAAAGGAAAAGAAAACAAGAATTATAAAATACCAGGAATCAATCAGCATGCCAGGAAAAAATCTGCCTTTTGGTTTCTCCATAGAGCAACTTCTCCAAAAATTAATTTCGTGGTAGGCTTGGAATCGTTAAACATATTTGTTTCTTGGACAAAAACAGAAAACATATTTGTTTTCATTAGTCCTACATAAATACATGCAGAATATGGAAACATAGACATTATGCTATCAGTACTTCATTGCCACAACGTTGTCTTCATTTTCTCTGCCTCTACCAATCACGGTAGTACTAGTGCATGCATATCATTCTATCAGGAGCCTTTTGAATACAAGGGAGTACAATAACTATAATGAGCCATCATAAGGTTTCTGATTACGATAACTACAAGAGGAAAGGCTAGCTTGCACGTCTCTGCAGAACGTGCAAATCTGAAACAGTCCTTTAACTCAATGGGATTGATTTGAGGATTTGCACAAGTTTATCAATATATTTCCACTCCTAATCATTAGGCTCACATCACTAACAAAGCATGGAATAGACACGCTCTTTATGGCGTTATCACATATAAAGATTTTGTGAGATTGCTTCAGCAAAACCCATTGGCTGTAATGGTTTCCAGCTCTATGGCTCTCTCTCAATATCTAAGGAATATATATCTGAAGATGCCCTTCGCATGACACTCACAGTCCGATATTATATATGTAGTGAAATAAAAAGCATTTCTTGGGAAATGATTATGATTTCATGGCCACTTAATATATTATAATGAAAAGCCAAAGTTCAAGGATGAGGAATTGATGAAAAGAAGAATGGAGAGAGACCTCAGCAGGCAATTCTGCAGGGCCCTTAATTCTGTTGTTCCTCTTCATTAAAAATCAGTATAATGGTTCCATTATATCAAACACCATGGCTTGATTAATCTTCTGGGACTATAATAATGACATTTTCAAGGTTTTGAGAGGATGGAATTAGATTTGGTTCTCAAACTGGCCCTCCTCTCCATCAAGAAAATGCCATTGTTTGGGAATGTTAGCACCACAATCTCTAATCCGTATAAAGGAATATTTTCGTCATGGAAGAAGCTAACATCTTTTTCAAATTAATTGATGCAGGAGAGTGGTTTGATTTGCAACGTGTAACTCGGAGATTATTGCAGGAGGTATCCTTTTATAATAGTTGTTCATACTTCAAAGATACGCACACAGTTGCGCCTTCCCTTATATTCTTTACCAGACTCCTCTAAGAAGTTAATCTAGCCAAGAACCTTACATTAGTTTTTCTTTTCTCTTCCTTAATGCTTTTAGCCGGAGCTAATAAATCATTACACTTTTTTTTTGCCAAAAATAAATCATTAAACATACAATCAATATTAATATCAAGTACTTCTCCGGTCCTAAATATAAGACTCTTATTTTTAGGACCGGAGGAGTATAATATCTATAGCAAGTTATACCATCAACAAAATGATTTGTTTCTTACACCTTATGTAATCATATTAAAAAATATGTCGACTTCGAATAGAAAACTCTATAGAATTACTCTATAGAATTACCATTTATCAAACTCACTTTTCTTAAAAACTTGAGCTACCCCATCTAGTACTACATTTACATGGGATACTGGCTAGTTCTTGTCCAAAGATAAAACTAAATTTATATATGCCATTGTACAATGAATTGCTGGATTTTTAATGTGTGAGTATGTCAAAAGAAGTTCCATATTACTAAAAATTGAGAAAATCTTAGTGTGCATTAAGATGTGAGTTTGAGGTAGTAAAATGAGTATGCAAAGGAGTCTTTGGAGCTTTTATGTGCCATTGGGTCATTTTTAATAACCATTTTGACTACCCAAGGTTCACATGTTTTCTGCCTATGAGAGGCAGTGCATGGTGCATGGTTAGAATGCACTGAATTCTGTTCCAGAGCTCTCCTTCTCACTTTCTACTTCTGGGTTCTAGATTTTTATTATCCTTTGTCCTTGTTTTTTTGCAATGAGGGTTCATTTAATCTGAAGAGTGTTGTTGTTTATTACTCCTTCGGTCCTTTTAAAGATTTGACTTTTTATTTGGTCCTAATTATAAGACCCCAATCCATTTTGTCTCTTATATTTATGCATTTTTTTCTAAGATAATCCTTCTAATAATGATAGTTTTGCCAATATACTTAATTAGCAAGGATATTTTAGGAATGACAACACTTATTTATTATAAATAACCAACTTAACTTACTTCCTTAATCTTCTCAAATAAGTCAATTGGGTCTTATAATTAGGACCGGAGGAGTATTATCTTGTGCGGCGAAATAATTTTTAAATCACTGTGTTCGGAGAAGACTGAAACCATGTATAGTGTTTTTTAGGCTGATGTTGAATCTATTATTGTTTCAACTAGGGAAAAACAAAGGTAAAAAGTATATCCATCAATAATAATAATGGCATTATCATGATCCACGAGTGCCACTAAACTGGATAATTTCTCACTCTTTAGTCTTACAAATTCTCAATTGATTGCTTTGACTTTGAGGAGAAAAATCCAAGGCTTTCACACTTAGAAAACCCAATTTTGAAAGCTCTCTATATCACGAAAGCTTTTTCCCCCATCATATCCATGTCGCTTTTGTTTCATAAATTTCCACGCAGTTTGGCAGAGAAAGACACGCACATATTTCTTGATGAATGAGAAAGCTAAGATTACTAATAAAAATAAAGCAATGAAGTAAGTGAACTTCGTTCAATTTGCATTAAGGTACAATCAAAATTTTATCATGGATTTGTTCATCAGTGAAGGTGTCCTTCTCCAAGAAGATTTGGTTTCATTCTGTGTTAGTGATAAGCTGCACATAGCTAACCACAAAAGGGGTCCTTTTCCCAAGATTTGAGTGTAATTAGGGCCATTTATAGTGACTTGCGGAGAGGAACCCAGAAAAAGTTCGATCCAATTATTTGTTAGTGCTGGAATCTCTATCGACAATGACAGCTTCTGCAGCACAAAAATTGGTAATACTTATCCATATCTCTTCTTTTTTCCATCAATACAACTCACGCTACTAACCTAAAAGGGCTGGGTGAGCCATTTATGTGCTGCGCAAAGTATGAGGTAAGTTGTATTGTTCATGATTGACTAATTAATTAGTGAAGCACTTATTTCAATAAATTTTAGACTTGATATATACATTGATGGTTTAGCACAAGATATGAGGTTATATTATAAGCTGTTTTAAAAAATTAATTAATAAAATTATTAAGTAAAAATTATGGATAATTTTATTGTCACAAAAAGAATTCTAGATGCAATGAAGCCGCTGCAGTTTATCATAATTAATGGGTTCGATTTTATGGGGGCGGCTAAAGTTTAAGTCTATTATATATAGGCAATATTGTAATTGTTAAATATCTATATTATGGTGATATAGCCAGTTTTAAAACTTACATAATGAACATACTGTTAAAAACAAGCTTAAGAAAATCAGAGATATTAAAGAAAGGAAAGGCATATAACCTGTGAACAATAAAAATAGAAAAAGCAATGGTCACTGGGAAGAGTCAATGAGAAGGAATTCACTAGAACCGAATTTAGTGACAATGATAAAGAACCAAAGTGGAATGAAAATATGACATTAATTAAAACCCACAAAGGATAACTTCAGAACTTAGTGCAAGTCATTCACAGAAGAAGAGAACCAAAAGCTGAACGACTTTCTAGCGCCAAAGTACTAGTAGATAATGTTTATCCCAATATACCCATTTGAGTAGGCTAGGCATCTTCCCAAATAGATTCGCAAATTGGAAGGAGTGAAGGGAATTGGTCACCGGAGTCTTTCTCTATTCTTTCTTTTTCTCTTCAAACTCAAATTATAGGAGGGGCCAACTTAGATTCATTCACTTGAATTTTTTGGGTGAGCCACGCGGAAGTTCTTGAACCAGATGTTCTGTAGTCTATATTCCAGAGTTTTTCTTTGGCTGCCTTTTATGTAGGCCATAGGGAGATAGATTAGCATTCTTCTGAGGATAATTTCAATTATAATTAACCCAGCAGATAGGGTTAAAGGGATTCCAAATTCAGTGTTATTACAGGCCAAGCACAATTGTCTGTAAGATTATTGGGTCTTTGGAGTCTCTAGTCTACAACGTAGGATCCTAAATTATAGTGGGGAATATCCATCAGAGCTTTTGATAAGGAACAACCTCTGCTTTTCCTGACAACCAATGCCTCCCTGACCTCCAACTTGAAACTAAAAAATTTCACCGAATATGCTTCTCTATTTTCTATCACAGAATACCATTTATTTTAAACAACAAAAAAATCTTTTCTTGACAGATTTTAATGTGAAATTAACAGGCATTTGATCAGATTGGCAAGTTGTTGACAAATTTTTCCCGAATAATTTATAATTTATATTAAAAGAGATAACTATGGTGAAAGAGGAAAGGAAAGAAATGCTCATCCGTTTAAAAATATCCATGGTTTATAATAATGCAAACAGATTTAGTAAACTATATTAAGTAGTTTATATTTTATCGACATCTCATCCCACCTACCCTTATTTATTTTGTTTTGTTTTTTAGGCAAACACTGGTTCCACCTACTTCTATTTTCAAATGGCTCAAAAATAGTTAACGCCTCATTAGAATTCTAAAATTGAAAACAGATTGAGTAATCTAGAAGAACATATTTAGGATGAATATCTAGGCATAGGCATAAACTCTTCATGTAAAAGTAACTGTTTTTCAGCAGAGAATCCAACACGTCTGGACCACAAATAGCCAGAATCTTCTATTTGATTTATTCAGGATTATAATATCCTAGTAATCACGAGCGGCACCCGAGAACTCCTAATATACATGGGATGGCATTTTTAAGCAGGTGGCTAGTATGATACAGCTGACATTCATCGCTGACATGCATCAGCATAATTTACAATGGGTTTCGGTTCACGTCCTTGTAAAGAAGGTACCGTGTCCGACTTTTTCCAAGGGCAGCATACCTGAATAAGTGTCAAATGTATCAGTATTCACTTAAATGTTCACATTGAGGGTTGAGATAAAATGTGCATGTACATATCTCATGTAATATACAGTGCAGCATGTTGGTGTACGTTCAGATATAAAAGAAAGTGTAGTCAAGTAATATACAATACCATTGTGGCACAAATGGGGCCATCCAAATGACATCACCCGCTTGAACTGGGTACCTGTTTACAGGAAAGGTGAACCATAAATATGATGGCCGGTGATAATTTCAATAAGAACATAACATGTAATACTCATTTTCAACATATGAAATGATAACTCTTGATAGGCCATGAATAAGATATTCCATTGTAAGGTCCCAAAAAGATGAAAACAGAAGGGTCAATATTTGTAATGCCATCATTACAAGACAACGTAAAGTCCAAGATCCCAAATTCAGCCCCGACCACACAGGAGGTTCAATAAACACAGTCTAGACTTTGCATACCAGTCACGCACTTACCTATGGAATCGAAGCTTTTATATTTCTAGGATTCCATGTACCATATAGGCTAATTCTTGGAATATCAGGTCTATTTTCTTACCAATTATCACCCAAACGATAAATGCCTTGCCCTTCTAATAACAGCAAACCATGCTGGTTATAATGCACCTCCTGCAAAATGCCGACAATATGGTACATAAGAACTTCGATTTGACATCACAAAATACAAACAGAATTTTGATTCAACAACGAAAAAATTGATACTTGAGATGCTAATAAACAAGGAGTTTTGAAATGCACCCTGAGGGAGTCGCAGGCATATGCTATTGCAGTTCAGTTGAGCTAACCTTTCGTCCATTAAGATATGAATTAATATCTAAGCAAAATATCAATCATGCAAAACCAACTACATCTTGGATGCATGTCTGATGCTTGTTGCCTAGATTATCAATACAACAAAAGATTGAAGATTTAACTGCGAGCATATAACACAGATCTATTACTTTATAAAAATATAGAATGCTGCTCATATCTTGGATGCACCATCAAGGGCGTTTAGTGATAACACCACAAACATATAACATTTTCTCAGAAGTTCAATAAGTGAATATGTAAGCGTAATTTAGCAGCATATTACTAACATAAAATGTCCCGCATTGCTAATGCTGTGGCATGACATGACCAGAAATTATCCATATCAGTGCTTCATGGATTGAAAGGAGTAGAATAATCACCTTCACATTGAGAAATTCTCCGGGTTGAAAATCCATAATCTACAGGCATAAATGAATTATTTATGTTAAGATTTGCATGACAAAATGTTTTGATGACAAGAATAAAAATAACGGATTTAAACAAAAGACAATCTAGAATTTGAACCTAAGCTTACAAGAGAGTAAAGAAGAGATGGATTAGAGCTTACATGGATATTGAAGTCATATGCCAAAGATGATGGAAGAAGCTTCCGCAGTTCAAAAACCTGGTAATGGACACCGAAAAGATGGGAGGGCAAGGGATCGATCATAACAGGAAGTAGAGGGAACGAAAGAGGGAAAGAAGGGGGTTATCTCTCCATTATCCAAACGTTCCAACAAATTGGAGATGAAGTCACTAACTTACCTCGCCTGGAGTTTCAAGAAGTGGCTGCAAATCTGTTGCATTAACAATCAGCTCTGGGACATGGTTTTCCAGAGGAGCATACCTAACATGTAGACAGTTTTGGTAATTGCAGTTATTAGAGTGTTGTCATGGCTGTTAGCATTTGAACGTAAGTAATAAAAATAAGCATGGGATTTAAGAAAACTTGAACACTCATATTTGACCATTTAAGGTCACATGCGGAAGAACCTTGAGAGATAAACTGGGTTCTTGAATCCAGCTCCAGTAAAATTAATTGGTCACTCTCTTTCTCATGTTGCCCGCAAGGATATAAACATATGTTAAAGACAAACAACTAGAAATCAATCAGATAAACGGGTGAAGTACAAAGAACAAACCTTCGCTCAAATACCACAATAGTTGCAGAGGCATCACATTCAATGATATGTTTGTAATTTGGTGGTAAATAGGCATATGTATCCACCTGAAATTTAAAACAGGGCATCAAACTGCTTATAGCTTAGAACAGATAAATAATACCATGATTATCAAATTCATCATGATAAATGACAGATTAACTGTTGGGCAGAAAAGGATTATGACACAACAACTATCATGATTGTGATATACTTCGGTGATTTGAGGTTTTTTTTTTTCCCCTGTGAAATTAATCCTTAAGTTATTCGTGGCGCATCATTCACTGCCGCGCAGGGGCTCATGGTGCCATGGGGCATTGTGCAATGCCTTACATCGGGCAATATTAAAGCATGACATACATTCTATTAATATTTAAAATCGTAAATAACGATAAAAGACAAAAGGAACAAGTAATATCTATGAATAATTTAACACATACATAACTCAATCAATAGTCCAAGTTCCAGGATCCAAATGCATCAAACATGGAAAACCTATATTCAAGATGCGTTCATTGCACCCTATCCAGTGGCATGAGACAGCGTATATAGCACAATGTGGAAAAAACCAAGCAGGACAACTAAATAAAACAGGGCATGGGCATGTGGTAGAGCTATTCTGGCAAAAAACTGAAATGTATCTGTACTAGTAAATAAATTTCTCAAAACTGCTTTAGCCGCTATAGTTTCTTAAAAAACATTCAATGGTTACTTTTACCCTAGATTGAAGCCAAATTAAAATATAACTTTAGATTTTACTAGTTTGAAAATGTACTACCTTCAATATTGAGTTCCCGATTGAGGCAAATAATGGGCTAGATCCCAAAACTAGTAAGCCTAAAAGGGCGCGCATGTGTGCTATTGAGACCAATGAAATCAGGTCACTCATTCTTCAATTACAAGTGTACAACAAATAGCCATGCTATATGGCACATTGCATGTAGTTAAATTTACCAACCATAGCTAGAATAAATACAGTAAGTTAGTAACATCAATCATGTCAGTTTTATCAAAATTAGTTAAAAAATGGACAGAATCTACACAACGGTTAAAAATATCTAACCTTCAGTATGTGGTGATTGCAAGTACCAGTGGTGAGCGTGACTGCACCCCGGAGCACAAAAATGAATCTAGTAGGACAAAACGCACAAGAGTCTCAAATAAATTGCACACATGCTTTTAGCAAAAGTAGCAACCGTCAATTGGGTCCACTATGTCATAGGTAGGGTACAGTTTAGAACTAAACTAGGGGGGCAAAAAAAACCTTTCCACATCATGCAGGGGCAATTCTGACTTTGACTTCTCTGGACAAAAGTAAAACATAAATCAGCACAAGAACATGCCCATATCTAAGTTACATATAAAGAGTACAGGGAAATCTGATGTAACCAAACCTTGCAACTTTGCTAGGTACATTACAAAGTGTGAGCCCATTTCTGGTGCAATTAAATATGCCCCAGATGTATTGATCCTGTCAAAGCAATTGTTGGGCATGAAGACCAGGCTTAATATTTTAAGCAAAAACAAGTGGGGAAAGTGATGCGAATACCAATCAGGTAACGGGCCATATACATGACTTTCTGGTGATATTAGAGCATGATCTCTTTTATAAACGCTGCGAGTGAAACCAGGCAAATCTGGCAAATGATGGAACATTTTAAAGTCAGTTCACATTTACTATGTTTTTCTTCTTTATACTTTTTCCTAAGAAACACGTGAGAAATTTGGACATTGTAGAAAGCTAAAGATCTAAACATGTTTTGAAATGGACTGCTTTCCTTTTTTTTTGGGGGGGGGGGGTTGTCAAGTACAGCAATAGACTCAAGCCTGACATAAACAGTTACAAGGAATTATCTAGGATGTAAACAACATATGCCGAAGGAAGTAGGGATAATCGGTAAAGCAAGCCAACTCAAGATGGGTTTTAGAAAGAACATCTAGTGCTTGACCTCATCGGCCTGAAAAACTATATTTTTTAGTATACTTACATATTTGCATTCACATCACTTGCTTGCAACCATATAAACGTTTACAGATTATAAATTAAGTAAGTATAACATTTAAATAGTCAGTGTATATATATAATTAAAACATTTTGGCGCTGTAAATTCAATATTCCTCTTGAGCTGTGAGAACTCTTTGAAAAGTATTGTATATATATGCAAGGGTGGAGGCTAGTATATAATTAAAGGTTGTAGATGAGTACAAGCAAAAAAATGTAAAATATAGTCAATTACAAAGAAATGTTTGCTTTTCAGATTTGTTCACTGGCTAACAAGCCAGGTTCTACGCAACTCAGGACTGTTTGATTAAGATGTAACTTGAGTTTGAATTAAGCCTCACTTGACTTGAAATCATGCTGTTTGAATATATTCGCCGTGGTTATAAAACGAAAATTTTATAGGGGTCAGATTCCAAATTTCTTTCTCTTATATCATTTAACAAATGACAAATAAGCTGGTACGGAAAGATTTAAAGTACGCTAGCGAAAAACTTCTAGCAGCCTAGTTAACTGATGTCACTCAACATAACAGGTATCTCTTCATTTTCTGAAGGAAGTACAATTTGTACGACAAATTTTAGTTTGCTGACCTTTCATATGCATAGGAGAGAGAGTTGGATTATCGACTTTCAAATACAGAGGGTTCAAGTTTGATTCTAGGCCAACAACCGAGGGAGCAGAGCAAAACCCTTCTTCAGCCACGACATATTTAAACAATCCTGAAAAGCAACAAACTAAAACTAAGAAATTCAGAATAAAATTTAACGATAAATAACTTTTCATCAGTCAGGGGGGAAAAAAAAAGAAAAGAAATTTTCCTCCATCTGGCTGCGCTAACAGTAAGAGAGAATCAGAAAATGGAGGAATTCTCAATGCAAGCTGAAGTCTAAAGGAGACATGCCGATCCTTCTAAGTCATTCTAGGCAGCCAAATGGGACATACAGCAAAGTACAGAGAGGCACGAGTAATCACTACCCAGGATAAGGAGATAGACCAATGCACTACGCATCTTCAACAGATGGATTCGAAAATTTAGAACGAGACAGTCAGAGTGGCCACGGTTCTATTGCGACTCGGAAATCGAACTGAGCGGCGAGTACTGGATGCTGCAACAGCAAGAAGGGCTGCTGTCCATTGGAGGCCGGGGAGTGGCCCACCAAAAAGAAGCCTCAAATTTGACGACTATCACGTAAAAGTTAATAGGTGCATATATATATATATATATATGTCTGGCAAAAGAAGTGTAAATACATGCATATTTTTATATGTACAAACTAAACTGTAATATTATGCCGAAGTAGGCAGATAAGCAGTGAATCAGGTAGACAAACAATATGATTAACTGTTGGAAATAATTTTATTGGTCTTTATCTCGGTAGATTTTTTATACATTCCTCTGTGGTTCGCGTCAGTTTTAAGTTTTTCCCTTTTCCTGGAAACTAAGTCGGGATCGGAAGGTAATTGTTATCTTGTTGAGAACTTTGGTGCGGCACTGCAATTTGAGTTATTACGAGTCCTTGGAGGATCACCTTCTTCAACACCCTATGCTGCGGATTGAGTTTCACTTATTTATATGAAATCCAACAGCTTTGTTTCGATTCGTGACATTGTTAGCATGACACGTTCTACTTAAAGTTTTGATTTTTATTTCCACTGCTTTCAATCATGGGCAGAGTTTTGGCCACAAAAAAAAAATCATGGGCAGAGTTATCAACATTAATGTAATCATTTCGCACGGAGGAATGGTTCTATCTACGCGTCCTATCAGATAAATGTGCTACTAATGCTTATAATAAATGCTATCGTGATAATTATAAAATTTGTTTGTAATTTACAGATACAGTTTTATAGTTAGTACTGACAATAATATTTAAAAAACAAGACATGGACATCATCATTTCCCTTCTTTTTTCCCGATAAAACGCCATCATTTCCTATTCTTACCTGGTAAACAAAACTTTATGTTTATTGCTGTTTATTGATGACCTTGGTATATAAATCAACTGTCTCTTCGGGTGCAATTTTCATTTTTTAAATATTATCAGATATGCATACAAATATCTCCAATCGAATATAACAATTTATTAAATTATAACATGTATGTACGAGTAATGATTATATTTAATGTTCAAATTTTCACGCACTTGTTTTATTTTTTAGAAAATTTTTTAAATTTTTTTAAAAATTCCTACTTGCATGTCAAAGAGGGCGCGAGGAGGAGCGGGAACATTGTGGCCGACTTGGGGGGTTCAACAGGCCAATTAGGGTTGTTTCTCTTTTCCTGTTTTTGGTCTGAAGAAAGCTCTGAACTTGAACTAAACAGTTTCTTGGTTCCTGTCATGCTATTGACACTGATAATAACTCTAAAAGACTTATACATCTTGCCCATGTACTCAAAGAGTACAAGAAGTGGTCAGTGAAATTTCTCAAGTGTTAATATCTGCAGTCAGTGATATAATGTCCGCACCTGTAGTAGACTCTATGGCGACTCTATCAAAAAGCCTCATTCAAGTACCCCCGTCGGCCATACCTGCAATGTTGGATTGTATTCTGTTGTCCACTGGGTTGTCCCCACCACTGATCTTTGCTTCACTCTCCGATGATTTCCCTCGCCTGCTCAAGGTATGTGTGGTCTCACATAGCTTACTCTTTAAACTCTATCGTTCTGCATCTGTCCCCAAGTAATTGCATGTTGTACCGTTTCTTGTTTATAGAACATTCACGGGTGCAAGGAACTATTTTTTCTTGTAAATAAGGCTATAAATATAATTCATCTCCGAGGGATCAAGCGATAAATTATTATTTATGCATGTTGATGACCTGATATGAATATTGTTGGTCTTACATTTGGTTACCTTTGGTAAATTGATCAGGATATCATCATGGAGGATGAGAAGTTGGATTCTGATAATTGCCTCCAACTTATGTCATTAATAGGTGCATTTTGTCACCTTATAAAGAAAACAAGTGAGTTACCTTTCCGTGTTTGGCACTATTCTATATTTTTTTGGGACATTCAATAAGGATTATGCAAGCTATGTACCTTTTGATTGTGCATTTTGAAATTTGAATATAAACTATCGTACAATGCTGTGTCGTTGTGAAATTGTCAAAGGAAAACAAAGAAAAAAAATGGAGCCCTGATCATGTACATCATTCATATTATCCCATCTTCTCGTAGTGATGCTGAAATTGCCTTTTCATGAATTGCTTAATTTACGATGATTCCAAAAAAATACTTGTGATACATGTAGGATGTACATCTGCATAACAGGTAATGTGTTTTTGATACTTATCCTCACCATGGCAGCATAGGATGCATGAGTAAGCTTCTAAGTTTGGAGGCATTACCTTCCTCATGGTTGCTCTTTTGGGAGAAGATCTCCACCAGATGAGATTGACCAACATACTGATGTGAAAAATGGGAAAAATTTTCTTTGCAGGGACCCATCATGATTCTGTACAGTCGTTTACGTGGAGATGCTTTCTTCCCCTAGTTAAGGTGCTCCAAGCATTTCAGCGTAATCTGCTTAATCAGGTATAATAAATGTTAAATATGCAGCCTACTATTATTTATAGGTAACTAGTGAATTACTTTTTAGCATTTAATTGTTTCTTTTCATGTCTGTATTGTTGGGATATGCATCATAACTTGATGTCAGATCATGGAACTTTTCATTGACGTGGTGATGGAGACTCACACCTGGGTAGTTCTTGAGAGAACTTTGGTACCTATTGTTTTGAGATCAGTTTATCTTTCCATGGACGTGTGTCATAATGAAGACTCAGTTTTCAATGACTGGAGTGGTGGATCATGCCCTCGGGCTTTGTATGATCTTTTAACTGGTTCTCCAGTGGACAAAGACTCTTATTTCTTCTTCAAGCTGTTTTACATTGGCGACATCATGCCAACTCTTGTCTGTAATCATGGAAGCTGCTATTCAATTTCAACAAACAGCTACAGTCTCTGAACCAGTTGAAGAAAATGGGTTTTTTGCCGATAGCTTTGTTGCTAGATTGATATGGGAACTATGTAACATGACTGAACGAATGCTATTGTATAGCCCAGAGCACAGGTCTTGTGCAGTTGGCTTTCTTCTTCCTATCATAGGTAAAGCACTGTCATCCAATTCCATATTCAGAGTCACCATCTCTGGGCAGGAACAAGCTATTTCATGGTAAATCAATTAACTTTATTATTTTTGACCTGATTTACACAGGCACACACATTTATTTTCTATTCATGAATATTTATAATGTATTTTTGGTTTTCAGGGAGCATTTCTTTATTAAATTATGGAATTGCTGCCGAACACTGTTTTCCATGGGGCCTTTAGAAAGAAGGGAGGCATATAGTGTTCTCTCTTTGTATTTCTCTTCCATCCCTTATTTAGAAGAACATGAAGATGCTGACACAATCAGTAGAATGGAACAATTTGGCATAATAGCAGAAAAGGAATTCTGGGATGAAATTAAGAGGGGCCTGGTACTTGAACTTGTTTATGTTCTTCTGTTATCCTGCTGGGTTGTTGATTTGTTCCTTCATTGCTTACTTCAGAATCGAACTCAACCTTTTCAGGTGAACAAGGAGAGTTTAGTTAGGAAGCAGAGTTTACAAATATTGAAGATGGTGCTAAACATACACAGCAGAACCAATTCTACTTCTAGTGTGTCAAAAGGGAACTCAAGTGGACAGCATTCTATGCCTCCTGGTGTGACAAAGAGGGGATTGTGGGCTTACAAGGAAGCCAGATCACTTGGTGTTGGCAACTTTTTGGCTTTAGAGGACCCGATTTTCAACAGCAAGCAATATTGGGAAGCATTTCTTCTCCTATATGAAATGCTTGAAGAGTATGGCACTCATTTAGTTGAAGCAGCTTGGAATCATCAGGTTTATAATCATGCCTTCACCTTTTCATCTGATCTATCTTTGAGTATCATTATTGTACTTTAATCTTGAGATTTTGGATTGATGAAGAGGTTCATCATCTTTTGGCAACCACTGTTGCCAAGGAAAAAAAAAAAGAAGGTTGAGAAGAACTAAGAGGTAATGATTGTTAATTCATCCTTTTTGGTATGGGAAGGATTTGGAAAAACAAGAGGTGCAATGGTTGTTCTTTTCTTCTCTTCTTCATAGTTTATCATTTTGTTATGTCTAAAAATGAGTTGAAAATGCAAAGGCTTGGTACCATGGAGCCATTCAATCTTTATAGTTGACTAATTTCCACCTTTGCTTTGTCAAACTAGTCTTTTGGGAATATTTTTATCACTTATTCTTATTTTCCCATCTTCAGGGGTAGGCTTGTGCTTGTGCTTGTTCATTCCACCAAAATAGTTCAAACTACTTGTTTATGATTGCCATAAACTTGTATACCCATTTTTTTCTTATCGCTTTTATATATGAGACTTCTTTCATAGCTTATCTACAACATTCCCCCTGTAACATAATTGGACTGGGTTCATCCTTTTCAGTCCTGCTATTATTTGCCTTAACACGGGTTTGGTTCTTCATTGTTAATCCTTTTGTGGATTTGGAAAAATTTGATTGATGAGCCCGTCATTTTTTTTGGGTAGGTCTAGCCTTCATATGTCCAGCTCAATTCTGTGTGTTTGGGTTTGTTTTTGGAGTTTCTGAGGCCCTACCCCTGACAATATTTGTAAGGTCCTGATCTTGTGGGAGCTAGGCCTTTTGCTCTGATACAATGTTAATTTCCTTTTTTTTTTTTTTTTGGGTATGGCATGAAGGAAGTAAAGCTCAGTTTGTCTCCGCCATGAATTCAACTTCCAATGTGGGCTGGTGCTTATGCTTGTTCATTTCAACAAAATAGCTTAAATTACTTGGCTGGGACTTCACGAGCTTCTATACCCTTCATTTTTCTTGTCACTTTTAGGCGTGGGATTTCTTTCTAGTCTTATCTCCAATACTCCTTGTCTAGCATAATATTGGTGAAGGCTATAGAAAATGGGGGGAAAACACTATCTCTACCCCTTATTTCTGTCTCTCCTTTTGGTTTCACTTTTCTTCCTCTGTTGGTTTTACATTTCAACCTTAGGACATAAGTTTCCTTAGTCAGACACTTTATGACGAAAGTTTTGCTTATAGAAACAGTCGATTCCCTGAAATCTTATTGGTTTCTGAATTTTATGCTTTTCATGCCTAATCTTCTAAAGTTATTGTTAATACAGGTGTCCTTGTTGCTTCAGTTCTCTTTGTCATATTTGAAGTTGGAAAGCAATACCGGTGAAGTTCATCAAACTCAAATTGAAAATCGTGGCGAAATCTTTGATTGGTTGTCAATTTTGTGGGAACGAGGCCTTCATCATGATAATCCTCATGGTTAGTGGAGTTTTCATTTTGAACAATTGGGGAGCTCTTTAACTTGGTGGAAAAACTTGAAAGTTGGGGTACTATCAGTTTCCAGCATATTAAATTATTTCTTCCATTGTTACTCATTACTTCTATGTGTCTCCGAAATAATGCAGTGAGGTGCTTGATCATGCAGTCTTTTCTGGATATCAATTGGGAGAATTATGGGAACTATCTAAGATCAGTGCCTGAAGCTTTTATCCTTGGGCCATTCATGCAAGGACTGAACGACCCCATGCAACACAAAGAGTTTGGTTCGTCCATAGTTCTTTTAAACCCTTACTAGTACCAAACATGTTTTCCAATCATATTTGATATATTATGTGTTTACGCTCTGGTCAATTCATGCATTTTAATTATGCTTAACTTACTGCTTAGTCCAAATTGAATTTTGTTTTATTCTTGTGATAAACTGCTTCTATTTCATCTTATACGTGATAGGATTCAAGATATTTAGAGAGAGAAAAAGAAAGGAAGGAAAGCCTTTATTATTAGAGTATGAGTAAGAATTTAAACTTATACAACTAATAAAGCCTATGGAGAATCTCTAAGGATAAAAACAATCACTGATTTAATTTCCAGTCGATTTCTACATGCTATGAGCCTCAATATTTGTAGACAGGAAAATAACCCATGGCTTCCTAAAACTCAGCGCCTCTAACTGAGCAGAGCATGTGCAGGATATAAAATACTTGGCTCAGTAAATAATCATGGCAGACTCCGCATTCTCCTCTCCTATGCAGCACTTAAACTAACTGCTAAAACCACTTTAAATAAATATTAATAAAGCAAAATTAAATGAATTCAATTCCAAGTCACCCCCCCCCGGTTTTTTTTTGTTTTTATTGATTGTCACTCTATCAATATGTACTGGAAGACGAAGCATTGTGGAAACTTTTGTTCTACCTTGATTTCTTTCTTGTTTGGCTTTATATTTTAGGTGTAAAGGGAGTTTACATGTCAAGGACAATTGAAGGTGCAGCTCAGTTTCTGCACCAATACACAAGTTGTCTGGCTCTGAGGTATGCTTTGAAACCTGCTGGGTGGAAATTTTAGGTCTTGATGATAGAAATCCCTATCAAGTCCCCCGCTTGTTGCAGACTTCAGATAAGCTGAACATCCAAATGAGTTTTTTGAGACGCTTCTGTAGCTTCATGTGTTTTCATGTTTGTGAAGTTTAATTATAAAGGTCTATATTCTGGTTTGCAGATTGTTTATTTTAATAGAAGTCATGTGATTAAGTTCCTCTTTATTCTGCATAGGAAGCAAAGTTGTTGGATAACTTGAACTCGTGTTTTTGCTGTTCTTAGCTTAATATCGAAGGATATCATGAAAAATATAGAATATGGAATGGTTTACTAAAGGCAGGAAAGAAATTCTGAGCATGAAATGTGACATGGATTATTTTATATGGTCCAAGAATTCTCAGCAAGCTATAGCCTTGGAGATGTGAAATGTGACTCAGCATTCTTGATCACATATTTACTTGAGCTTAATTTTTCCTGAGTTTTGAGTTGTGTCTCAGTGGTAGCCTATTGGAAGTCAGCTATGTGGAGTGACAGAAACATGGGTCGTTAGTTTTGCATAGGCTGCTGGTTCGTTTTGATTGTTGTGGGCTATGCCTCTGGCAGTGGTGGAATTGGTGTCTTATTGGGGAAGAAGAATGGGTACGAGAAAGGATTACAGTTGCCTGGTGGAAATTTGTTCTTGAATCTTTTGTGTGGCTCTCTATTAACTTCTCTGGGATATTTTAAGTCCCGAAGAGCCTTAATGCTGAAGTTTGCCTTTGCTTTTCACTGACATTGTTTTTGAGAGATTTATTTGGTTCTCTGCTATGATGGGATTGTTACAATACAATCGTTGTACTTGAATTTTAAAACGTAACACTTCACCCCCTTCGCCAAATATTCACAAAACGTGGAAAAATTACACATAATTTAAAATTAGCACATAAGATTATCGTAAGATACTTTGAATGATTCAAAAAGATAATAGAAATATAAGGTATCTACTATCTTGTGTCTTTGAGACTATCTTAAGTGAATTGTAACATTTCTATTTTAACTTGTAACACAATTATAACACTTTGGCTTTACTTTATTTATTGTCTAAAAAGTTAGTTGCAGGAAATGCATTGGATTTTTATGCAATCTAGCATCTTCTGCAAAGCATCAATCTTTTGGACGAGCGGGACTGATGGCCCTTGCTGAATGCATTGCTTTCGCTGCTAATGGAATCAAAACACATCTTTATTCAAGGAACGAGTCAATTAGAGGCACTTCTCTTGTGGAATGGGCTTCTGAAATGGCAAGTGAAAATGATAAAATAGAATTACTGAATGCTTTCCGATATGTTATTGAGAGCAGCAAACAGCATTTCAATCCCAATTACCGTCTCAAAGGTTTTTAATCTAATATGATTAAATTTTGTTATTTTTATTTTACATTTTGATTATTTACACATTATATAGCCATAGCAAAATATGACTTACACCTTTATTATGGTTAACAGTTTGTCAAAAAATCATGGAGGCTGCTGTTTCTGTGGTGTGTGTATTTGATGTTCCCCTTGAGATTCTGTTGATTTTCATATCAGCATTGCCACGAGAATTTACTGAATGTGGTGGTAAGTGAAATATCTTAGATTTACTGCTTCTACCCTTACATGTTACCTCTAGTCTGGGTCTTTTTCCTCTTCTGTCTTTTTTTTTTTGGGGGGGGGGGGTGGGTTGGTTAGGTTGGGTAGGTAAGGAATTGAAGGACTGAATACAGGCATGTAGTGACTAAATGATGATTTGGTCATTCCCCGGCGATCTAGCATTTATATTGAGGAATTTAAATATATTGGGGTTGATTGATTATGATTTGTTTGATGGGAATGAAAGGAACCGCAGATAAGCTGCTAAGACATAATTCTGAATTATGCTACAGTAGAGCTGAAGATATCTTTCTGTCATTGATCTACAGTTTTTCCCCTTATGTTGATGCCACAATCTGCATGTTGGAAGCATTACTGTTAGATTATTTGTTGAGATAACTGCTGGTCATGTCACTATTGATAGGGATTTCTTCACTTTTTGACTCATTGCTGACAAACTTCTTTCATTCTCTTGACATATCTATCTTGGAATATTTCTTTATGATTTTACTCAAAAACTTTTCTATTTGGTTTTCATTTGGTGAGTTTTGACACTGCCATGCTCTCCACAGCAGGCCCATTACGACTTACTGTGCAAGAATGGCTTTTGGGCTGTCGTCACTTGGATTATTGTGCCAATTGCAGCAGTAATATGGGGAAGCTTTGGGAAAGTCTATATGACTTTCCTCAGAGCTTTGTGAGTCACCAACTTGTCGTTGATGCTTCTCTTAATTATGATGATGAAGAATTGAGTGCATGGGAGTTTGAAGCAAATAGATGGGCAAGAGTGCTTTTCCTAGCACTTCAGGAGGAACATCGCTGGGGACCAATTTTAATGGTTCGGTTTTGCCTTCCTATCCTTTAATTATTATAACTGTATGTGTACAGCTTGTGAATTCGTGACGATTGATTTCTGCTGGGGAGAAATAGGAATATCATGATTGAGTTTTTTAAGTAGCAATACTGCTGCACCAGTAACCTATTATTTGTTCTCTGACATGAAGCCTAACACCTGTAACTGTATATTGCAGTTCATTCAAAGCATGGGTGTTACTATTCTGAAACAGAACCATGATTCAAAATACGTACCAGTCAAATTCCTGATTCTTGCCATGAGCTTAGTTTTGGAGCTTCAAAGAACAAAGGAAAGAGCAGCTGAAAATGGCATTAAAGCCATAACAGATAATTTTAGTCTTACAGAAGGCATCTACGAGAAGTTTGTTGACAAATTTCTTTTTATATTGGTATCACCTGTTATGTGAAACTTGTACATTTTTCTGCACTGATGGTAGCTTCTTTGATGTTTTTGTGATCTTTCGATGTTAGTGAAGATTTATTGGCTTGCAGGAGAATATGGTTCGGTTTGCAGACCAATCATGTTCCGTCTTCTGGTCTGGCTTTGTTGTGGAGGACAAAACACTACCTGGTCCAGTGAAAGGAAAGCTTGGGGGCCCTAGTCAACGACGGTTATCCACTTTTACCACAACTGTTGTATTACAGGCAGTAGGTTTTCTGTGCTTTAGTTATAATTGGCCGACTGACTTTTCTACTACAAAAATATCTTCTGTAAAATATCTTGTTGAAGTCGGTATTTAATCCCTAATCAACTAGATTTAAAATGCACATGTGTTCTGGATTTGTGCTGGAAAGTGGTTTAATGTTTATGCTTCCATTTTATTAATCTTGAAAGTCCTCTGATAGCACGTCAAGGTACCTTGTCTTTTGATAGCTCTAACTCTGAAGTTCTGAACTAGATTTTGTCCTCTAACATGTCTCCTCATGTGAATCGTTTGGGTTAAAATGTGGACAAGGCGAAGGCCCACCACTACTATTGTGAAATCCATGTGCATCCATTTCAGCACGAAGGCCACCAGTTTGATTTTAATTCTGTTGATGCCTATTTTCCTTTAGTTGGAAATCTTGGAATTTCCAAAAGTACTTATTTGTTCTTTGTTTTTAGGCATGAATGCTTCTACAAGTTTTATGCTATTTATAGCTAATTAGTTCTTTCTTTTTCCTTTTTATGTTCTATGATATACTTTGATAACGATACTCTTTTCTCTTGATACTTTTTCCATATGACTGAGCAGATAATGTCAGTGAAGGCATTGTCGTTGATCTTGGCATGCTGTACACAAATTAAAACTGATGCTTCTCTTGGCTATCCTTTCACTTTTATGTGGCAATTCTTCTGGAGGACTACCAAATTTCCACCTTCATGTTCAGAGGTATCTGCTCGAAATGCTTTATCAACTATAAATTTAATCCATATTTTGTGATGATTGAAGTTTATGGCAGGGGTGTTTTGATTATTGACATGAATGTTGTAAGCAGATTGAAGCAGAAATTCGTCTGGCAGCATATGAAGCATTAGTTTTTGTTCTGAGAGTACTAGCATCCACATATTTTTCTCAATCTTTGTTTCCCATCATGGGAAATGAGAAATGGTTTTTGGAGACTGAAGGCAGGCCTCAGTTAGATTCTATGCTTTTGTCTTTTATTAAAAATATTAACAATCTCCTTGGAGTAGGGTTTTTGGCAAGAACACGAAGAGCTGTTTTGTTGGATTGGAAGGTACTAAACTCTCTCTTAATCTTTAGTTTCAGTTCTTCTTGGCATCTTGAAGTTGGGTTTCCTTATGACTTAAATGGGACCGTGGCTTGTTGGTTCATTTTCGTTTTTGGTTTCACTGGTTTAATTCTTTTGATCAGTCATTACTTCTGTGATCTATCGTGTTCATTATGATCATTTCCATTTTCCCCCCCTAATTAATGTATCATATGCTTTTGCCTGTCAAGTAATAAGCTGAAAGATTGTAACAAATTTGTTGCTGAAACAGTGGATGTGCATAGAATCTTTGTTATCAATTCCTTCCCGTGCTCTCAATAACGGGATATGTATGAAGGAAAGCAACTCATTTGTCTCGGATGGTACTGTCAGATGCGTTTTTAGTGATCTCATTGAGAGGTAAGGAACAAGGTAACCTATTATGCTCATCTGTGTTCATCTTAGATTTAGATTTAGATAATCCAATTTAAGTTTATATTATCTTTAGGGTTATAGTAAGTAGGATTAGGAATAGGTATCTATAAGTCCTAGGACTGTTTGTATAGACTTTCACTGTTCGACAAAATTGAGAGTATTTGCAGTATCTACATCTCCCCCAATTCCTTTCTATTTTCTCCCTCTTTCCTCTCAAATTCTTCCTCGTTTCTCTTTCTCTTTTCCCCTTCCCTCTGTCACATCAAAATTTAACTGACAACCCATAAGGACATGGATTCAAATTACACTACTGATGTGAGAATTTGACTGATGGGTAATTTCTAAGTACTTTTATTAGTGCTTTGAGTCATGAAGCTTGATCCTTGTAAGTCTTTGGAACCCAACTCATTTAAACTTATAAAAGAAAGATGATATTTTGCTGGCTTTAGTTTAAAATAGTAAGCGTTTGAATGAACCTGCTTCTTTTTTTTACCCCTGGTGTCTTGTAATATCATCATCTTATTCAAGATTGTGTTTTGCAGCCTAGAAAATGCTGGGGAAGGTTCTGTTTTAACAATGCTGAGATCAGTGAGAATGGTGTTAGAGCTAGTTGCCAAAGGGAAGTCAAGAGCTGGTTTTTCCCCTGACATTGATGCCCAGGTTCACTTAATAGCTTTCTGTCAAGATTGTGCCCTTTCTCATGTTTATTTAGTAAGACACTTTATGTTAAATGAATTTTCCATAAGCATGCTGTGTGCGCGCTTTGGCAAACTTGGACATGTGATTTTTAGTGAGCAATCAGCATTATGCCCTGGATGATAGGTTTGGCAGGTTTGCAGGCAGCTGATTGCCCAGGATCTTCGGAAGTTAAATCAAACTTTCTGGTTTTATGGCTTGCGTGATCTTTTGTGTTGCACCTGATTTAAAAACCCTTCTATGTGCCTTTCAGTTAGAAGTTAAAGGCTCGCTACAGGCTGAAATAGAAGTGAATTAGCATATATTGTTATGAGAGAATGACACTTAGCTCTCCAAAGATTAATTTTATAACAGTTAGGTCTCAAATTTTTTTCCACAAGGTAAGTTGCAAATATAGATTCAAATAGTTGTAAGTATGTGCCGGTCTAAAAGTTTTGAATATAGGAATGTTAGTTGTAAATAAGACATTTAAGTCCCATAGGTCACTCCCACTCATTTGCAACTGAGGTTCTCATATTTCCAATTGTCTGAATTGAATTTGCAATTCATATTTCAGTAAAATGTTTAGGATCTGATTGTAATTAAATTGAACTTTTGGGACCTAATTGTCATTCCTCCTATTGTTATTGCTTGTGGGAATATGACATACTCGGAATATTCTTGCCTGGGATGTAGGATGCATATTATAGCTAACTATGCTTTAGAAATTGTGGGATGGTCCCCCTCTTCCCCACAAAAGGGGTATTTTATGGATTTTCCACATCGACTGTTGTGTTTGTCATTGGTACATGAATTTCTTTGTTGGTTGACTTGAGAATCTTCGTAAACTAATGGAATTTTTAAGCAAATTTGGGTGTATTTGGCTTCTTTTATGAGCTTCGCTGATTAAGTTATTTTCTTCCACACGAATGGCTTGGTAGCGTGCTGATCTGATAAATTGCAATTTTTTTTAGATGATGTGGCATTTGGTCCATTCCTCTTGGATATTGCATGTGAACTGCAACAAGCGCAGAGTTGCTTCAATCGCTGCTCTCCTGTCATCTGTTTTGCACCCTTCTGTTTTTAATGATGAGAGCATGCATGAAACAGAAAGCGCACCTGGACCTTTGAAATGGGTATTAACACCCCCCCCCCCCAAAAAAAAAAAGGGCAAAAGGATCCAATCTTTCTGCTTTCTTGTGTATTTTCTCTGCTGATATGTTGCAAATATTTACTGTTGTTTTGAATATCTTGATTCCAGTTTGTTGCAAATCTTCTTGAGGAGGGTACCAAGAGTCCTCGAACAATTCGTCTTGCAGCACTGCATTTAACAGGATTATGGCTCTCAAATCCTAGGATTATAAAATTCTACATAAAGGAACTGAAACTACTAACTCTCTATGGTTCAGGTAGCAAGCATGTTTATCTTTAGTTTGTCTATCGCTCTTTCATGGCCGTCTTTTGCTTTACCATGTAAATATCGTTATGGATCTGGGATTGTTTGTTCCAGTTGCATTTGATGAGGATTTTGAAGCTGAACTGGCTGACAACAATGATGCAAGGGTGGAAGTCTCCTTATTGGCCAGAAGCCCTGATCCTGAGCTGACTGAGGTGAGCCACCTAACATCTTGGATGATGTGGTTATATTCTATTGAAAATATTGTTTTAAGGGACACTTTCAGTGTTTTGAGCTGTAAAAGATTGGGCTTGGGAGAAAAGATTGGACTCATATTCAGACTTTTTCTCCCCTTTGGCAGCATATCCTTTGGCTTATCTCCTTTGCTTAGACTTCCAATTTGGAGGCTTTCCATGCATCTTCTAACAGTTCTCCCTTGTTTGATCAAGTTTTTGATAGGGGTCACACCACCCTTTCTGTTGTTCTTGTTGCCATAGTTGGTTGACATCGTTGGATTATTGCTGTCTCTAGGAGTGCCATGAGTTACCAAAGCAACACCGTCGGTCATTTGTCCAGCACTGTTAGGGGTGTTTCCCTGCTAGGCTTTGCCCCCTACTTTCTTCCCTCCTAACTTCTGAAAAGAAATAGTTTTAGTGTAAGCGAATGATTAATATCTATGATTTTTTCCTGTACATTGTCTAGGTTGATGTGAGGATCTTTTCAGAATTCGTACACGCACCTTTTTTCAACCATCTTCTTGGAACTTTCTGCCTCTTCTGTGCACTCAATTTCAAAGATTTCTACTGCACCTTCTTGTGTGGATAAAGCTTATTGGGCGGCCCCCCAAATCTTGACTGCAGTCTTATAGAACATACTTGTTTCACTAATTCTCATTTTTATAATTCTATTTCCATTGAATTAGTGAGCCAAGCCATTACCTGCTTACTTTCAGCCTTCCAGATCTTGTATCCTGGATCATTTGGGGCTGCCACTCATAAATATTATTACAGATCTAATCCATAAAGGGCAGTTGCTCCTGTTGAGTTTCTGGCCAATGATACATATTGGGACTGATTCATTTGTCTCTTGATTCCGTTGGCTCTCCATCATGGGTTAGGTGTGGGGTTGGTGTTGATGGAGCTTTGCCTGGGAGTGGTTTGGAAGCATATCTTGGCATGGTAGAAATTTGAAATTTACAGCTCTGATGCCATGAAAGGAAATTGAATCAGAGGTGAGAGAGCGCAGAGCTATGAGTTTTATTGATAATTCAACTTGTGTACAAGAGAGACTAGAAGATAGAATAAATAGGGGTGAAGAAGTGCTGGTCAGCAGCTGGGGGTGTAAGACTACATTTTAGACCTTCATATCTCAGGCATTTAGTGCCTAAGGGCAAGGAAATAAATGAGATGACTGTTGCTGAAAAATAGGAACTTAAAGGCAGCCAATCTTGCTTATTCTTCACTAGAATATCACACCGTTCCGATCTGGTTGTTTTTTAATGCTTTATTTTTGACATATCCTTATTTTGATTGTCTACCCAAATTGAAGTTTAGGTTTTATATTGGGAACATGGTATGCTGATTGCTGATTATTGCAAATGTTTTATAATGCAGTTTTGTTTAGTTCGCAGAAATAGCTTACTTCTGTGTCTGTTTGCTGCTTCCTTATCAGGCCTATATTAATACAGAATTGTATGCTCGAGTTTCTGTTGCTGTTCTGTTTCACAAATTGGCTAGCATGGTGGAATCGTCAGCCCTAAATCCAGATAGCATTGCAGCTCTAGTATCTGGCAAATTGTTTCTTCTAGAGCTCCTTGACTCCGCGGTAATAGATTACTGTCATTAGATCATAACAAATATTTTATGCTAAAAGATGAAATGCTTTCTACTACCATGGCATCGAATGGCTAATATCCTTTGGGAGTATTGCATGATATATTTGCACTGCTGTGAGATTCTTTTCTTGCTGGTCTTATATGAGCCAGACTTACTTTGTTGGCATTGCCTCTAGAAGTTTTGTGGTTTGAAATGTTGAAAATTTGCTTTGGCCTCTTTTGAAGAAATGACTAGGTTTACAGATGGTTGTGCATAGGCCTCAGGCTTTGGAAAATATTGATTTTTTTTATAAGAACTGAAAACATGCTCCTCTAATTTCGTGCAAGAAACTGATTTTGGGAAATAAAGTAATGTGTCAAGGATTCGAAAGTAATTGGCACTAGAATGCTTACTGATACAAATTCAGGGAGCATAGTAACTCTAGATTTGGCATCGGAATGCAAGTTTCTATTGGAATACTGGCATCTGGTCACATTGCAGCATTTGGAGTTTGAATTTTAGAATTGTTTTAAGTGACATCCCGTTTCTTTCTGTGCAAATACTTTGTCTCAGCTTGCATATTTCAAGTTATTATGTTGGGATGGTTATGTTGCTTATGATAGATCATGGTTGTAGGTGAATGATAAAGATCTTGCAAAGGAGCTGTACAAAAAATACAGTGCTGTAAGTTTCTTTTATTCCTTGTCCCTCTTTAAATTCTCTGAATGATGGCGAAGTAAACAGAATTTTTTGTGAAAAAATTCTAGTTTTTCTTATCCACTGCTCACTGAATATTTTTTCACACTCCCATCTTCTCGAATAGCTTAATCACACGAGAGGTTTATTTATGACTGTAAAATATGAAGAAAGAATGACTTAATATACACTCTTGACAGCTCTGGCATTTTCAGTCAGAACAGGCTTTTATAGCTTCATTTTGATCATTTTGTTATGTTGATAATACAGATACATAGGCGCAAAATACGTGTTTGGCAAACAATTTGTGTCTTGTCATCATTTGTTGAGCAAGATATAGTCGGGAAAGTTGTCCATTACTTGAACTTATCACTTAATGTAAGTAGATTGTGCTGCATATTACTTTAATTTTTCCTGTTCCAATCAGTTTTTATTTGATGTGCATTTGATGTCAGTGGAGGCATCTTATGTGGTCTTGGATAACTTTATGTCTCTTCTTTCCATTTGTTTTCCTCAAGTGGCTCATTAAATGAGTTTTTCCCCATATCATATCTTTGCATTGAGTTTTTTGGGTGACAACTATCCAGTATCTGGTACTATTTTTTAATTTAATTCAAGTATTGTCTGTCAGGTTTAAATGGTGGTAATTTTCCCAACGTGATTTTTTGCATCTACTTTCATCCTTTTCTAAAGAACATCAAATCCCTTCCAAACTTGACCAAGTTGGTTATTTACCGAGTTTTTTTATAGAGCCATCAATGTCAATCTATGCATTGAGATTTAAGACAATATAGAATGAAAAATATGTAATTTTCTTCTCTCTTCTAGTAAATGTGAGGCCTTTATGTATGTTCTTAATTTTTGTGTTTGACTATTTGCAAGGCTAAATCCATTTTTTCCCCCTTATTGAAGCAAAATTTGTCGAACATATAAGCCATACTTTGCAACCTCTTGAGATTGTTTCTGTTTATCTATTTAGGATGTTTACTTTTCTGCAATAGCTCTCACATGAATCATTTTTGTTATTTCCAACTTAGATTGATTATCTTTCTAGAACTAGGTAAAAGTATTTTTTATTTTTTTGGCAGAGAAATAACTTACCTGCTGTTCGTCAATATTTAGAGACATTTGCAATAAACATTTACTTGAAGTTTCCCTCACTCGTAAGACCTTATCTTACCCTTTTTCTCCTTTAATTTAATTACTGTCGTTGTGGTAAATTGTTTCCTTGAAATATATAACTGACTGGATTACAAATGAAATCATTAATGAAGGCTCAAAATTGGCTTTCCTCCTAAGTAAAAAGCATGCCTTGATATGCTACTTCTGATAAAACCGCAATCATTTTTATTATTGATAACTATTTCTTGTAGCTAGAATTGTATGAACACCATTTTCTTTTAATTTCATAGTATTCTGAGAAAATCTAACTATTCTGCTTCCACGAAAAACTCCCCCATCATACCAAGTAGAGCATTAGTTTGCTTGGACTTGTTAACTAACAGGAAATCTGGCTCAGTTTTTGCTTCTTGTTAGAATTCATACTTCAGTCAGTGATTTAAAAACTACTTTCTAGTTTTCTTGAGATAAATTGTTATCATCAGATGTTAATCAGTTGTTGATAGGCTAAATATATTATAGATGTTGTACATGTGGAAATTCAATGTGCAACTTACAATGCAAAACAAGATCAGTATAAAATATGAAATTTATAGCAAGTCATACAATGATAAGTTATGAATAGTGCAGTTCATTCCTCATGCTTTATGCATTGCTCAGGAATATTTGTCCAGTTTTTCTTTATCTGTTGCCTTGTTGACCTTTTCAAACCACTACTCCTAATGCTTGCACTTTCAGGTTAGAGACCAATTGGTTCCTATATTGCGGAATTATGATACAAGGCCTCAGGTAAATAATGTTTTCTATTGATTATTTGCTTTTCCATTTGTTGTACAAGTTTTCCATGTTTTATTTATGATTAGTTGCTATTCACTGCACAATGCAGGCAAATTTAATTTGTAAACAAAGAAGCTAAGGCTATGAATCATGCATGATATCTTTAACGCAATTTGAATGTGTTGAGAGATGCTGATTTTAGTATATTGAAAAGACCCTAAGCACTAGGTATGGCATGTTGAAACTAACATGGTTAAGTCTTGGCTCATAATCCAATAACCCCAGAGATTGGCCAAACCTTCCTCCTCTTTTCTACTGCTAAAGAAGTGTTGGAAGGAGTCCCAAAAACCTATAATGCTTGTTATAATTGTGCTTTAGTAACTGGTTTTTTGGATTATATGTGATTTATACATGAATGCTCCATTTACTTATGGATCAGTGCCTTTTTGTTTAAATATTTTTCTTTTCAAGGTTATATGTAAATATTTTTTTAATATTTTAGTAAATTATATTATTTTAATCATGATTGGGTTCACGCCCTTTAGCTACAGTTGAACCACTTATCTTTGAACCAATGCCTCAGTTTACTCGGTCCAATTTTCAGTACTTGGGTATTTAGGGGAAGACAATAGTGGAACTCTAACATCTGGAGAAAAAAGAAGGCTGTTAATTCCATCCTAGGTTGGGTATGATATCTGTATAGTTGAACGTTGAGTTTAGCACTGAGCTCCTGTTTATATCTGTCAGCCTTATTTTTGAACTTCTTGTATGATGAACTTGACCTTATAGGCGGAGGCATAGAGATGGAGGAAAATGAAATCATGGAATAGTGATAACTATAATAAAGTAGATCAGTAAAAGTACATGGGTGAACTCAAAAGATGTTATTCTTTTCAATTGGTATTTCGTTCATTGTGTTAATACTATATTTACCATGGACTGGTGATTACTCATTCGTTGTCAGTTTGACATGCAACCAACCAGATACTTGGTATATGGTTTGCTTGTTTAGTTGAATATGTCTGGTGATGTTACCATTTCTTTATAACCAGTCTTTTATTGCATGATATGTGAACTTCACCAAGTGCATCTGAAATATTAGCTGTTAGACCCAGTGCTGAAGTATGCTTAAAAAATACTCTAATTTGTTCGGCTTTACATGCAGGCACTCTCTTCTTATGTATTTATAGCAGCTCATGTAATTCTTCATTCATCTGAAGATGTTCAGTCCAGGCACTTGGATGAATTATTTCCTCCTCTAGTTCCATTATTAACCTCACATCACCACAGCTTACGGGGTTTTACCCAGGTTAGTTTGGGGTATGTTTGTCTTTAAGCCTTTTGAATAATCATATCATGACTTGCTTTACTGTTTTGCAGTTATTGCTGTACCAAATTCTACATAAACTGTTTCCATTGTTAAATGCTGGCTCCTCTGAGGTTTTTCTTTTAGAGAAGAGGTGCTTTGTGGATTTGAAAACATACCTTGCGAAGAACTCTGATTGTGCACGGTAAAATTTGATTTTATCTCTTATATGATGATTGTACATGGATTCCGTTTTCATGTATTATTATAATAGTTTAACCTTCTCTATTCTCTCGAAAGCGAAAGCTCGTTCCTTTTTGTTTCTCTATAATTGGAGCCACCAGACTCTATCCATTTATTAATTCAACCCAACTGTGAGTATTTTTTGTTGCAAGCCAAGAAATCAAATCAAACATGGATTTGGGCCCGATCCAATAACAATGAAATATTCTTAGAATTCTCCATTGATACAACATGCTGCTTTTGCCATTCATTCTTTTCTGGATCAGTCGTGGTCTTACAAACTCTATCGATGGTTGTAAGCTGGCTTTCAGACTTGCTTCTTGCTGCTCTGGGATGCCAATAATTTTCTTTCTTTTTCTTGTTTTATGAGAAATCATTCATTGTAAACTTGCAAGGCGTTGCACTCATATTTAACTGGATGCATGAGCGATCTAGTATATGGTATTGATCTTGTAGGCCTCTGTCTTTGATATTCTCATTCAGAAGTGAGGGAATTGATGCTGCCATAACAACTATATGCAATAATTTTTTTTGCTTTTGTTCTAGTCGAGGTATGAAGATTTTGTCATAGGAGTGCCTATTGAAAGAGTGAATTCTTTCTAACATCACAATACCATCTAGATGGCTATTTTTATTCACGTTCTCTAAATTGCAACTTTAGAGTAACATCACTAATTTTCTTGGCAGTGTCTACATAGTCTATCTTGTAAGCTCGTAGAGTGTAAATCATGTATGTTGTGATGTTCTGTTCTTCTTGTTCTTTTTTTATTTCCGCTATGGAATTTAGGTGACCTGTTTCAATTTAATGACGGAAACTTCTGTTTCTGCTTTTAATAAAAGTTTTGCTTCACTGTGCTTTTCCTTCTTTTGTGTGTTGCCCTCACTAGTGGTGTTCTCTTGGGACTTACAAAAGAAGTTTCAAGAATACAAACACTACAATGTCGCCAATGAGTCTCTGTGTTACCCTAGTGAATCACTAATTTTATGTCTGACACTAACGGATTAAGTTTCCAGATGACGTTTTTTGCCTCAGTGCATGGGATGAAAATCAGCTGATATGTAAAACTTGTTTTACCATATTTGAACAGATTGAACTCGTATAATTATATGCTCTTTCTTGCAGCTTACGGGCATCAATGGAAGGATATCTTGATGCATATAATCCAATTAGCTCTGCCACTCCTGCCGGGATTTTCATCAATCGAGTTGAGGTGAGGGCCTGGGTGGTGTTGATTGGTCACCCTTCTGAGGCAATAAAAATCTATTTATAGTATTCAGTAGCCATATCAAATCATTAAGTACTTCAACTGGTTGTGAACTTGTGACAGTTTTCTTCAAAATTATTATGAATTTCAGAAAAAAAGTATTGCTGATGTATTCTTTTCTTTGAGATTCAAGCTTTGATGTGCCTGCTTGAATCTGCAACTCCATCCTAACATTTGAAAATAATTACGCTTGTAACAGACGGTTTGCTAATTCCTTTTTTCTTCTTTTGTGCATAAAGGAAGTGGAATTTGAATGTGTTCCAACATCTTTAATGGACCAAGTTATCACATTTTTAAATGTAAGTATTGTCATTTTTTCCTAGTCAGACAAGAGGCCGTATTTACTATTTCTATGCTTAAATTTATTATATCATATTTACAGTTTCACCGTGTAACTTTATCTTATTTATTCCCATTAAGGATGTTAGAGAAGATCTACGGTATTCAATGGCAAAGGATGTGGTCACTATCAGAAATGAGAGTTTAAGAATAGATGGAGATATAAATGGCATCGAAAACATGTCTGTAAGTGGTGAAGGAACCCAGATTAAAGACATGTCATCAGATTTCCAGAAAAAGATTACTCTGGCCAAACATGATGTGGGAGAAGTAGGCGTCGGGTCCTTTTATGGGAATGAAAAAGCCTGCAAAAAAATAGCTGGTATGTTCAAATATGTTTGGCATTTAAAAGGAATAAAACATTATAGATGAGTGGGTGCTTATTTAATTGAAGTAGCAGCCTTAGAAGACTGCCATGTCTGCTTTTTATGTCCTACATTATATGTGCTTCTGTTAGAGGCTAAATAATACGAATAGTTACTTTTGAACGTGGGAGGGACTAACTTGAGTTTAAAAATCCTGGCACTATGCTCCACCTGTAACCGGACCCAGCAAAAATACCACTAGGCCATTGCCCTCCTTCCCGCTGTAGACTTGAAAATACTTTATAAAAATGATCCAAGTGATAATGTGAATCATGACATGCATGCTCATGAGGCCGAAAAGCTAATTACCAAAACATAACGAGACTACTTGTCTCTGAAGTTTGATAGTGCAGCTTTAGAGACGTTATCATCTCCACTCTCTTGTCTATTAATTCATGAAGAGACTTCGGTGTGCTATTAGCCTAAACCTTTATTTGTACTGACACTCAAAGTCTCAAACAACTAAGGGATATGATTGAGCTGAAGATTCACAAATCTTTACCTAGGACCTATAATTTTATAGGAAGGGAAATGGCGCGGGAAAGAGTAACGCCCTGGGATCAAGAAACTTGTCCCAAGGCCAAAAAAAAAAACGCAAGGGTAAAAAGGTTATGCTGATAGACAGGCGAGGTAGGTGCAGCCAGAGCTGGGGGCAGTGTTGGTAAGGCTGATGACTACTTTTTGGGTACAAGAGCATCCTTTCTACGTAAGGGAAAGGGCAGTTCATTCATTTTGAAGTGAAGTACGGTTTAGGAGAGGGCTAGCCTCTCAAAAGCCAGTGTTGCTTCTATGTCCTCGTTTGGGTCTGCAATGTGTTGATGTGTATTTTGTTCTTTTTCTTGTATTTCTGTCACTGTTATTTGATTTTAATTTCTGTAATTTGTGTGGCCGAGAGATTTGATTTTGGCTGGAATCATTACTTCCCTTGTAATCCAGACTTCATTATTCAGTAATAGTATTATCAGTTACTCATTTTTGCAGTCTATTTCTGGTTTTTGTTTGTTATGAGCTTATTAGAGTAGGGGTTTCTACCAGGATACTACTGAGATACTCGTGTTTATGAAGAGATCTTGGTGTACTTCTGATATATTCTGATATATCCCTTTTCAACCTGCCGTTTTGTATGCCCATAGCGCTGGATAATTATGTTTACCTGAAGTACAAGAGTTTGTGTCCACTTTAATTTAATCTGATATAAATTGACAGAAATGGAAGAGGATGATCTCCTTCTGGATCAGTTATTGCAGTCTAGAAGATTATCTCTGGAACGGGTAAAAGCAAGTTCTCAAAATTTCATCCTTGTAGCATCACTACTTGACCGCATACCTAATCTTGCGGGTTTAGCACGCACATGCGAGGTTAGTGACTTGTTCTGCCTCATTCTGTGACTTCTCTAAATCTTATCTAGCCATCATTATATATTATGTTCTTGTCCTTTATTTTCTGATTTGCAGATAATTACTTCACTTTATTCACGTTAAATGTTGCTTGGAGCAGGTATTTAGAGCATCAGGGCTGGCCATTGCTGACAGGAGCATCTTAAAGGACAAGCAGTTTCAACTTATCAGGTTTTGATCATAGTTGAATTGTGTTGTTTCTGTGAGAACATGTTACATACTTTCACTTATACTAAGTCACTTGGACTTCACTTAAATCTGTAGATAAATTATTGAATATATCAGTTGAGCGATGTGTCTGCTGGCTATTCCTTTTCTGTACAACTTGAGCATTGTTATTTTTTGGCACATTTTTCTAGCCACGGGAGAAGTAATACCTCACTGTGTAGTTTGTAGATTCGTTCGATTAGATAATGCCTAAATTAGTTTCTTAACTTGTAGGTTAATATCTCTGTCAATGCCCGTTTTAATAATCATGGAGTGTCTGAGCTATTCATAGTAGTATTAATTTTGGTGATTTTTTTTATATAAAGCATTTTTATTGTGTTGTATTGCTATTTGCAGTGTGACAGCTGAAAAGTGGGTTCCTATAGTAGAAGTCCCCGTCAACAGTGTAAAGGCATATCTGGAGAAAAAGAAGAGAGAAGGATTCTCCATCTTAGGATTGGAACAAACTGCAAATAGCGTACCCCTCGATCAGTTTATGTTTCCTAAGAAGACAGTAAGTCATCTTTAGGATTCTGGCCTTCCGGTCTTTTTAATGCTCTTCGCATGATTGAGCAATATCATGAGATACAGCATAAGTAACAATGAAATTCACTATTTTACAGATTAGGGGTGTCAGGCTGTCAGCTGCGCCCCCCCAGCTGTCCCTCGTTTTTGCCCTTTGCAAACGTTTTTTAGTTTCTTGTTATCATTATATGCTACACAAAACGAGTGACATTAGAGTATTGAATCTTTAAAAAATCGTAAAGAAGTGAAAACTGAATCATTTTTTGCTCATAAAATATCAAAATATCACTTACTTTATATAGAATTTAATGATGAAAAGAAACTAAAAAAACATTTGAAAAAGGGGCTAAAATTGAGGGCCAGCTGGGGCGTAGCTCGGGGGGCAGCTGACACCCCCAGTGCCTTTTTTACCCACTTGCTCTTCAATTCATAACACAATTTTCTTTCCTAGTGGGATGCCTTTTTTTTAGGTGGGGGGCCGGGGGCTTGTGTTGGTTTCTTTGCTATTGATTGGATTTATTGGTAGGTTGATACGCAAATCCGTGATATATGAAATCTTATTTGGGTGTTTACTCAGGTACTGGTTCTTGGCCGAGAGAAAGAAGGCATACCGGTTGATATAATTCATATTTTGGATGCATGTATCGAGATTCCCCAATTGGGGGTTGTTAGATCTCTTAATGTTCATGTCAGCGGCGCCATTGCTATTTGGGAGTATACTCGGCAACAGAGATCTCAATAGTTCGTAGTTTCAGACTTGTTAGCTCTACCAATACGACTATATATATATATATATATATGGATAGGTTGAGAATGGCAACAGGTGTTACAGTTAGCAGCAGAATTCCAAGACCTTCATTACGCAGCTTCCAGAGCAGGCCAAAAAAAAAAAACAAAGAAAACCGGAATATAAAATTTTTGGCGGATTCCACAATAGGATATGTAGTGAGGAATGTAATCATAGGCTGATATTTTCTTTTGATCTGGTACTTTCATTTTACCAGTTACTACCAAGTGAATTAGCTTAAGCTGAATCCCCAGCAGTTTTCTTGATAATTCCAAGGAATAGTGGAACACTTCCTTGAGTTTTGCGGATGCTGTGCGAGGCGCCGTTCGTTCGCAAGTTTAACATTATTGAGTCTCTAGTCTGCAGAGTTCGACACTAGACGGCCATGTAGTAACATTGTCATCACCCTCAATGTCATCACTTGTGGTTCTTTAAACCATAGCAGATCGTTAGATTATAGTTTAGTATAGATTTATATATATTAAAAAGACATCATACTATTCGTAAGTGTTCAAATTCTGTACAATACATGGGATTTACTTAACTAATTATTTAAGAAGCTTGTTTGATGGTAATTGAGAATTTTCATTTTTATCTTGACGAGGTTATTTTGCTATGTATGAAGCAAGTTTATTCAAGTTTTAAAGTACTAGCATGTAACCGGAAAAGGCAAGGAAAAAATCGGAATGCAGTTAATAACAGTAAATGACAGTAAAAGGGAGGAAGACTTGAATTTAAGATAATGGGTCTGGTTTATGATGGTGACATATCAACTTGAGAGGAAAACGCCTTCGGAACCAAACCTCAACAATGCTTGCGTGTTGATGAAAACATTTTACGAATGAAACCTTTTCTTGTTTTCACCTGCGACTGAAAGTATCAAACGTAAATTATATTGGGACATGCTAAACATTTTGTCTCGCTGCAATAACATTATATGGCAAAATTTGCCTACCCTCGATATTTTCATGGCGTTTGCTATCTGACTGAGAGACAACCCATTTTGCATTTCTTGTTTCTTCTTTCTGTTCTTAGGTTTAGCGCTCGTCCTTGATCTCAAGAAACCCGGAATCAATAGTTTCCAATTGCCAAAGCAACCGTACGAGTTTCCTTCATGCATTTGCTTTCTTTTGGAAGGGACAACCTTCAAAATGAAGAAGAAAAAAGACCAACTGATCCTAGTAATTCAGAGTCAAAACTGTAAGATCAAAAATCAACTTCAGAATATCTCTATAATGAGTCTCTTATAATTTTGTAAGATCATCAATTAAACCAATAGTGAGACATACCTAGTTATACCTATAGCTTACCTGGGTTGAAGGTTTCTCATTAACATTGTCTGAAATCTGCTTGGAGGGTAATAAGGTGGTGGATTGTTCTTTTCGTACAGAGTTTCGCAAGAACTGCGAGTACCTGAGAAGTTCTGCTCTTCTGTCATATCCTTGACGGACATGGCCATTATGATGAGCTACATGGTAGTGATGGTGAAGATGGTAATAGTGGTGGTGGTGAAGAAGATGATGATTCAACGGCGCCGTCGTCTTCCTTGGCTTCTCCACATAGACCCTCACCAGCACTGCCTTCCCTTTCCTGCATATCACCTACAAACATAACCATGTCAAAACCCAGCACACTTCCCAGTAAAAAAAAGAAACACACACACACACACAGAAAACAAGTAATTAGCTTACCTGTTGGGTTGGCATTTCGGGATAAGCAAGTTAAGGATTTGTGAGAATTCAGTTGTTATATGTTTGATTCTGCACTGGCTTGTGTACTGTGCGTGTGATAGCATCATGCAGGCCAATGAGGAAAGAGTCTAATCGAGACAGAGAAAGGGTCAATTCATACTCTTTGGGTGGAACGAAACAAACCATATTATACTTTGAGTTCAAGAAATATAAAACTGTGATCATATCATTATAATATCTGCAATGTTGTGGGCCCTATCTAGATGGTGCCTCAGCACTATCATCAATCCCTCTATTTCTTTCCTTATTTCCCCTTTCTTAATTCTTAATCTCAAAGGGATTTGTTACCGTGACCCTCTTGCCTTAATGCTGTGCAATTAACTGTATGTACTACCTCCGATTCTAACGATAAGACTCCATTTATAGACTATAAATGGTAGTTACACATATATTGGTTCATTTGTTTTCCAAACTTATCTTCTTCGTAGGGCCAAAGGTAGTAGTTACCCATTTATTGGTTCATTTGTTTCCCAAACTTATCTTCTTCGTTGATAGAATATTAATATCAATCTATACTGCAAATCTGTTGCTCTCATGCTGCGGCTGAAATGGTTTATTTTTCTATTTTACTGTTCACAAGTATTATGTTCGTGACTTGAAAATATACTCCCCCGTCATTAATATAAGACCTATTTAACTAATTTGATTAGATTAAGGAAGTTAGGTAAGTTAGTTAATTATAAGAAATGTGATATGTTTTTCCCAAAATATCATAATCATCTTTTTTAATACCCCTTCTTCTTCTTCTTCTACTTGATTATGGTTGAGAGAGTATCCATAGGGGTAATTTAGATAAAACTAATAAATATGAGAAATGGGTCTTATATTTAGGATCAAAACCAACTCAACAATTAGGTCCTTAACCGGAGGAGTATAAAAATTATTATGGATGCATGTATGTGCATTTGCGCGTGTTTATACGTATAATATGTAATGCATCAAAATTTCCTCCTTGGTAGGGAGGACATATAACAGATGCACACACATTTTTCACACAAAAAAATATATATACACGTGTGTTTGTTTTTACTTTTTATTTATTTTATAACAAAAAATCCGTTGACATTTAAATTTTTCAATTGAATCATCCTATATCCAAAAATTACATATTCAAGTTGAATTGAGTAAGCCAATAAGGATAGAAAAGCTCTGCCATTCACATTTAATTTAAATTGTGTGTGTATTCTCGTATATTATTCATTCTATTTATGATGACGAATTTAATCGGTTGTTTGCTATCCAGAGGGGGGGAAAAACTTGCAATCCATAAAAATAAGAAGGAAATGCTGATATTATTATTCTTATTGGAAAACAAAAAATGTATGCTCATCAAGATTTAGAAATTGTTTACATAAACACGGCAAAAACGAGTGGTTGATGTGAATTAATTGGGCACATGAACGAATTAAATTTTCTTGCGATATTGTTATACTTTTTGCATGCGACGAAGGGTTAATGACTTCTCGTTTTAATTAATCATGGAGAAAACTAACATAAACCAATCATAGCATAAACTAATAACATAATATATATACTCTATCGTATTATACATCAAGTTTATTTCCTGATCACAATACTACATGACTTATTAATCAAATCTTAAGAGTTATTATTGGGCTTCGATTAGATTTTGATGGATCACATATCTCTCTCTCTCTCTCTCTCTCACTGATCCATACTTAATTTGATTAATTGGAAACGTTGATGTACCAAATCATAATAGATATTTGATTTGATTTGATTTGATTCATAGTGTTTGTATACACTTTTTTTTTTAATCACATTTAGTATATACTACCTCCGGTCCTAATTATAAAAGCTAGTTGACTAATTTGAGGAGATTAAGGAAAAAAGTTAAGTTAGTTATTTATAATAAATATGTATTGTCTTTCATAAAATATAATTGCTAATCAAGTATATTGGTTAGAGTTACTATTGTTAAAAGGACTACCTTTAAAAAAAAACATAAATATGAGAGACAAAGTGGATTGGAGTCTTATATTTAAGATCAAAATAAAAATCAAACAAAGTCTTATATTAAGGACCGGAGGTAGTATTTTTCCTAACCCAACAATTTATTGCTTTTATTGAAAGTACTTTTAACTCATTGTCCACAAATAGCCTTGAACTTAAAACCTCATGCAAGGGTGACAGGTGATGCTGTCACAGAGTAACTTGTAGTTAGATTCAAAATTTCAATTTAATAATGATTAGATCTTTTAATTTTATCGAAAGGTGAATAACATATTATTTGTACTTGAAACTTCAATATTTATAATTGTTTAAATCGGTAAGTAACTTATCTTTTTAACATTAATTTTAGGAGTTAATATGTCATTCCCCCCTTTTTAAATTGGTTCGCCTTTTAAAATTAGGCAGCCTCTTCTTCCTTCCTTTCTTTTGTCTCTTCATGTGTGTTACAGATAGTTGCACCAAATTGCTGACCTTTTTTCTCGAGTAAAAATTGCTGACTCTGATCAGTGATAAGATTACCATGGACAAGAAATCCTGGGGGTATTCTCTGGGACGATGAGATAAAGAGTCAAGAATTTTTTTTTTTTTTGGTAATATAAAGGGTCAAGAATTACAAAAGCCCATTTCGTGCTACATCACGTTCCTTGATGCTCGCCCTGCTGTCATTACCGAAGCATGGAAATTTTTTTGGAATAGTCTCATTCATTATCTCATTGGAAAGTAACGACGGAGAGATAGACTGCAAGGACCATCCCAGAAAAATCTAAGGATATACGTGCGGCTATAATTTCATTTCTTAGACACCTCGAGATTTGCTAGTTTCCATCTTATGAGTGTTTCATTACCCCAACTCCAATCAATAGCTCACTGCCTGAATTTACTGAACTTCAAACAATATTGCCATTTGCCCAACAATCCTCATGTGAACCAGTACTATTGTTCATCCAAAGAATTTGGAAGTTGAAAGTGATCCTCAACGTGTGCCCAAATTAAGGGCAACTGCCACAGGACCAGTTAAGAACAACTCAAACAACACACTTTCAGAGATTAACACACACACGTACGTCATATAGAAACTATCTGAATGAGCATTTGGATCATTCATCTGCACTAAAATGACAGAAAGAATTGAGATACAATGTCCGGTTCACATTCTTCTCATTGCTTAGGGCAAACAAGATAAATAGACTACTACTTTAAAAGACAGAAGGGGGAAGGTGGGAACTACAAAACAGAAATCCCACTATTCGGTTTTGGAACTGCTCGAGTTCTCATCCTGCCAGGTTGCTTGCCATTGTTTATCATAAAATGTTGTCTCTTCCAATAGCTTCTTGAGATTATCCAAATCCTCATTCTTTCGGATCAGAAGAACCCCCGCCACCGCTATGAACAGAAGAGTTTTGCAAAAGAAATTGCTCATTTGGTCAACTAGACCTACTCCTGTCAAGCTATCCACCAGATAGGCCATAAAGAATCCTATCATTGCTGCACGACCTGATTGATACACGAGGGGCCAAAAAAAGTACAGCTGAATCACTAAATGAGATTTCTTTTTCTTACTGGCGTAAAAATCCTTTAATTTCTAATTTCATATGAGAATTCAAATTAGAACAAACCATTAAGCAGTTCAGCTTCAGGGAGATGGAATCTTTTCATCCATGCCCACCAAGGTACTATGGAGGTGTCAAAAACTATAGGGCTTTCATTATTGGATGATTCTGGGTTATCCTCAAGCCACTTTCTCCTCCGAGCCTCTGGGGAAAAAAAGAATAAAAAAAATCATTATATGAGTTTGGAAACTACATAGCATCAAGATAGAACTCGAAATAGATTTAATAAAAGAAACTCAATTCTGAATCAAATCTTACTCCAACAGTTCAGGCATTTCTCCCTCTCTCGAAGTTATAAGAAGAAGGAACCAGAAAATGAAAACATGCACAAGACTGTCAAATAGAATATAAAGATGGCACCTTTTAGTGGGTGATCATTCGCAATTTGTTTTATTGGGTTATTGGAAGTTCCAGGAGACAAAATAACACTATATTGTATCTTAACCATATTGATGGTATTAAAGAGCTTAATCTTGCACGACTTCGATAGATCGCTATATTCCTGCAAGATTTTTGGGTCCTTCATAATAAACCAGAAAGATGGTGCTATATCTAACTAAATTAATTGGATTGGTAGTGCTAAGCACCCTTTGGCTATCATGAAAGTTCCGGAGAGGATACAAATTCTTTGCCGGCTAAGGATATGAAATCCTGCTATTGCACTTCATCACAAGACAATGTAAAAAAAAACAGTAGCTGAGAAAACCGAGCAGTAGAGAACGAAAAATTGAAATTTCACCCTTTAAAACTTCAAATTTGAGCAGAAATCCAGGTTCCATTGTGTCAAACTATTTCACAAGGCATATTTAATGACACAGCGCGTTTAGCAACCACAACAAATGTATAAGCTCACCAGCATCAATAACAGCATCCCAATCGGTCCCGCCATTTTTCTGAAATTGCTTTAAGTCCCATGTACCTCCAACCCATCTTGGGTCCTCGAAATTACAGAACACCTTCACTTCCTCGGCCACTGCCGCAACGGACCCGTTATTTCCGGCAGGGCCATCATTCTTCTCCGGCACCGGCGGGGGAGGCTCCGGGGCCAACTGCTCTGTTTGAGGTTCCACTTCCACTACGGTTGCAGCTGACCCTGAAGTTCCAATACCATTTTCAGCTGCAGAAGCCTTCCAAGTAGAGGGAAGAAATAATCGGTTCTTGGGCCTGAGGGAGATGAAGGATTTGTGGCTGAGATAAGTTTTACTGTGCGATGAAGGAGTGGTTGAGAGTCGAGTCGGAGGAGAAAACGATGCCATAGAAATCAACATTGCTTGATTGCCCAACTATGGTTATCAGAACATGGTAGTGTTTTACAGGCTGGGCTTCTGGGGCTATCCTCAGCCTTAGAATAGCCAACAACGGTAGAAGCGAGTTCCCGGCTAATAAATTAGTCATGGCTTATTATAAAGGACCCAAAAGTCTGAAAACGCTGTCGTATTTTCCTCACATGAGGCGCACGTGAGTGTTCTGCCCCGAAGAAGATCGGGTCGCTGCAGGATTCGGCTATTTAGGTGCTCCACAAGAAAATGCCGCGCCGGTGTGAACCAATCCCAGAAATGAGCTTCTGAGATTCCTTTTAACTAGCTTCTTCTGGGGTGGGAATCATTGCTAATCCACGCCCATTGATTTTCTTTTTGGCCTTGAATCCCTCATCTTGACTTAAATCACTGAGCAAGACCCGCGAATTCCCAATCTCTTCGAACCCTAGATTTGGATTTTCAATTTCACGGCTTTTTCTGAACCCTAAATTTTGATTCCCTTTCCATGGCTGACCCGTCTTCCTCATCTCGGTCATCCAATTCCGGGCAATTTGCCTACTCCGACGGCTCTTACTTCCCCATGCCTTTCCATCTGCAGCAATCTGCTTCCGCGACGTCGTCTCACTATGCTGCGCCATATGTAGCAGCGTCACCGGCGGTGCAAATTCCTCCTCAAGCGCCTCCTGCCGCTGTGCCCGGCGTCTACTCTTACCCACAGTATCAGCAGGCGCAGCAATTATTTCAACGGGATGCACAGACAATCACACCCGAGGCTCTTGAGAATGTCAAAGCAGCCATTGCTAACAGCGAGATTGAGCACAAGGCAGAGACCAAAAAGAAAGCTATTCCTCGTAAAGCTGCAGGGCAATCATGGGAGGATCCTTCGCTGGCAGAGTGGCCTGAGAATGATCATCGGCTGTTCTGTGGTGATCTTGGTAACGAGGTAAATGACGATGTCCTTTCGAAAGCCTTTTCGCGATTTCCTTCATTTAACATGGCCAGAGTTGTGAGGGATAAGCGGAGTGGAAAAACAAAAGGCTACGGATTTGTTAGCTTCGCGGATCCTTCTGACCTTGCTGTTGCTCTTAAAGAGATGAACGGTAAATATGTTGGAAATAGGCCAATCAAATTGTGCAAGAGTAAATGGAAGGAGAGAACGGATTTTGATGCTCTAGATAAACACAAGAAGCAATCTCGGAAGAAACCGAAACCTTCAAAAGTGGGTGTATTGCATTACTGAGCGCCCCGCCAGAACTTGGGAAACTGGGACTGCGACGACATTAAACAAGTTGTATTAATCATTTCGATGTTTAGAAGTTCCGTAATTTCTTGTCTTTTGCCTTTCTAGTTTCCTGTTTCAAGTTTATGTGCGATGTTCTTAAGCCGACTGCCCTTTTGTAACATTTCTCAATCACACAGATGAGGTGAATATTTGAGAATAGTATTTGCATTGCTTACTCTAATTTTGTGTCTTGGTTTGGGAGGTTGCTGATTTAGTTTTACCCACTTTTAAGCTGTCCAAATTCAAGTCAGTGTCTCCTTGCTGGTGGGGTATGATTTATGTTTCTTTTCGTCTTTTTTCTCCCTCTTATTTTGATATGTGCTATTATTAGATCAACGAACAGCGTAAGCTTCATCTTGTGCTGTGGTCTTTCCATTTTAATTTTTGGTTCAAGGCAGGAAAGTTTTGGGCATAGTTTCATGCTAGCAGTTTGCTTATGCAGATATATCATCGAATCATACATAAGCTATAATTTTGATTAAGTTGCACTTTTACTGTGAAATACAAAAAGCTACGCATGTCGGCAACTTACATGGTTGATCTCTCATAATTTTAATCTTTGTCTGCAATCATAATTTTAATCTTTGTCTGCAATGTTCGAAGTTCTAACTGAAGAAATGGCAATGTTTTAGTTTGACTATATTCATAAGTAAGGTGCTTGAGACTAATTCCGCAATGATTTTGATTCCGTGTACATGGTGGATTCGATCTCAATTCTGGAGGCGAATTGATTGTCACTGCCTCTCAATTAGCGAAGGGTCAATAAATGGTATCATACCATTGGGTTCAAAAGTTGAGGATCCTGCTGAATCTAAATGTATTCATGTGTACGTCTCTCCGTCTCTGCTTGAGCGGCTGACGCATTCTGTCCTTAGGTCTTAGGTTGGAAACTTGGAATCAAAGGAGTGTGCAGGAGAGGAAGGGTCAGCTGGAAGAGCAACACGACTTGCTTCTCTGGATGAAGGGCAAGGTGCGGAAGCCGACTATTTTATACATGCTTCGCTAAGTATGTCCATAATTTTGAGCTTTGACGTTATGGTTAGAACAACAATTTAAATCTTCCAGGTCTCGAATGTGAAATTTCCCTGTGTTCTACTTGTTTTTGTTTGCACGAGTTTCATGAGAGCCCCTGCGAGAAAGTCCTTGCGGGAGGAGCAATTCAATTTACTAACCTAGAAATTATGAATAATTTTTTCCTTATAATAACATATCTAATATGATAGATTTTTCTTTGAAAAAATTACATATATGGAATTATTAACGTATTTTGCGTTAAAATACCTTTGTTTTTTTTTAAATACATATTTTTACTTTTGTGGTTAAAATTTTATAGTTTTGCTTCCTTTTCAATCAAAGGGAAAGAAAAACTACTATTACTCCCTCTTGATTCCTTCTTAAAATGATTCGGAAGCATCTACCTTGTAACGATTAGGCTGAACAAAACAGCTTACCACCCAAAATGAACAGCCTACTGCCGCCACCATCCTTTGATTTTTGGCCAAAAAAGTGTGGCTATTTTTTCTTTTTTTTTTTCCTTTTTTGGCATCCCCGGTCGGATTACTAGCCATCATAAATAATCCTTTAAAAAATTAGAACAATCTCATTTTGTTTCCGTTAGTTGGTTGATAAATTTTTAAAGCAACTTTTAAGAAATATTTTTAGGACTAATATAATTTTTGGTTCTTCAAATTTATCCTCATTTTGATTTTAGTTCCTCAAATTTCAAATTTTAAGTTTTGGTCTCTCTTGTTTTTATTAAATTAGAGGGATCAATGTTTTAAATGAAAAAAAATTTGAGGGATCAGAACTTATAATTTAAAATTTAAAAGATCAAAACTAAAATAAGAGTAAATTTAAAAAAAAAACTAAAAATTATATCAATCCATTTTTTTTTTTTTTTGCTAAAGCATAGATATCCTCCTATTGGAGGCAATCCTATTTGAGACACTGTCAGGCACTAAATGTGGGCACTTCTCCCAGCAGGGATTCAAACCTTAGTTTGTCATGTTGTGATGTACTAGCCCCTTCCACTAGACCCAACCCCGTTGGTATCAATCCATATTTTTACCATGCATACACATCCCTCTTTGGTGAGGCCCAAACACATCATAAGATGAGCTGGACTGTCATCCTTTGCCCAATAACTGTTTTATGCCCAAACATGATAAAGATCAAAACAACTGGTTAAGCCCAATAACATCGATCTCAATGTAGCGTTCAGTTGCTTGTGTTTCTGACTTCTCCTACATACGCCAGCTACTCGAGAACTACGCAGCTATGGAGGTTGCCACCGCTCCATCAAGCTTTGCTCTGAATAGACCTATGTTAGCATCGCCGAATTCTTCTCGAATTGGAGCCCCTATCCGAGCGGTGTATAACAATTCTTCTTCTGCCTCCCTAAGAACATCTCTCTCCACCAACTTCATTGCTCCTTTCGTCGGCGGCAGCGTCTCTACCCTGTCCTCTGGTCACTTGCTTCGACCTTCTTGTCTGAAACCTGAATCGTCTCGTCATTTTAAGGGCAAAAGGGGCGTCTTTACTATGGTAAACTTATCAACTTTGAAACACATTTTAGTGGACGTTGTTGCTTGCGTGGTTGGATGAGATTTGAATAGCAATTGCATCAATTCTTTTTTATTTCTCATAAAAACGCGATAGTTCATGAAGAATTTTTCTTAATTCTGGGTATGGTTGGTTCGTTGGTACGAATGCTGAAGCTTCTTCGTTGAGTAGAAACAATTGAGCATTTGGTCGTAGCGGCTGGTTTTATTTTGCCAGTTGCCAGATACATAAAAGTGTAATTTTGGTAGACACTGTATGAGTGAAGGTTTCTCTATGCCTAAGAGTATCTACCCTACTTGTTTGAAATGGAGTCGCGCACATTGTTAGTGGAAGTTCTAAACGAAATTGTGGATTTAAAGTTCAGTATCAGCTACGTCGGAAATGATTGGATTGGACTTACTACAGCAAGTAACAGCATTCTTCTATTTGTTTTTACCAAGATGAATCAAGATTGAGGATCATTAGTCGAAAATTCGGGCATAATGCTCTTTTAAAAATATAATCCTATTTACAGCTTAAAACAAAGTAGGAATTCAATCATCTTTTGAATGACAACTAAAATATAGATTCATTTGGTAAATCAAGAGCAGGAATGGACTTTGCAGCTTTTGGACCCTCGAGTTATTTCATATGACTGGTTTTTAGATGTTTCGACGGATGTAAGGAGGTGAAACTGATTGCAATATGTAACATATGTCGCCTGGGGTCCATTGGGGTCTTGAATTTTATCTGAAAGCTTGGATTTTGAGAGGATAATCGTTGTTGTTGCCTTAAAAAGGGGATGATCTTTGTCCTTATACTGTTATGGTATTGGACTGTTCCTATGGCCTTTTTTTGGTTCTAAGCACTTAGTTTCTTTATTGATGTCTTCATTGTTCATGTTTGTTTTTTCTTGTGTTCTTGTTTGGGGAGGATATTTTACTTTGCTTTTTATTTTGTAATCCTTCTCCCCTTCTAGAAAATGTTATTTTGTTGTGGCCACTCATGGTGATGGTTGCAGCATCCCAAATAAAATTGCATTTTTCATATGATTCCTATGAGGTTTAATGTTGTGCACACGTAACTTATGTGATAGGAAAATAACAGATGAAACACATTTTGGCATGTTACAGCACCATGTATGCTACCAGTATAACTCATGTTGCTTCAATGTTCTTGAATGTGTATGGATAGGTTATTCCTTTTTCAAGGGAAGTGCATGGGAGCAACCTCCACCAGACTTAGCTTCTTACCTATACAAAAATCGTATTGTCTATCTGGGCATGTCTCTTGTTCCTTCTGTGACAGAGTTAATACTAGCGGAATTTCTTTACCTTCAATATGAAGATGATCAAAAGCCTATTTACCTGTATATAAACTCCACTGGAACAACCAAGGTAAATGGTGCTTTATATGTTCTGCTTAGCATATGGTGTTTCAAACCCATGCAATATGTCTTTTGTAGTTTGATGAACAAAGTTTCTTTTTGGTAGGGCAAAAAAATAAAGAAATTAAACTTACTGTCTGCTTATGACTTGCCATAGTTTGATTCTAAGCCTTTAATGAGGCATTTTTCTTAAAATGTTTTGCATGACATGAGAAATCCAATGTTTGAATATGAAGAATTGCATTATAATGGAGGGCAAATATTAAATTCAATTATCATCGCATTACCATTTAGATCATGCTGTATTTCATTAGAACTTAGAAGTCAAAGAAAGTGAACGTTTATTTCATTGTTTTACCCCTTTTGAATAAGAGAGTGAACCAGAGCGTAGACTTCTGTTAGTGAGCCTACTTTTCTCTGTTAGCCTTGCTGTGCCGCAAAATTAGTTCTACTTGTAACTAAGACTGACATATGTTAGTGGATTTTATGATCAAAGAAGCTAGAACTAAGGTTGTCAATGCTTTTGAGACCATAAAGTAACAATAAACTTATTCCGTTGTCATGCTGGTTTCTACTTTCCATTGAGGCTGAAGAACACCAGTACACATTAATATAGTGCTGGTGGTGGCAGCCTTCAGGTTTGTAACAAAAGAAACAAGTTATTGGCAGTTTTTAATTACTACCTCTATTCTCAAATATTAAACACTAATAACTAACTCACATGGACCAATAGAATAAGTTAAACTAATTTAATTTGTAGCAAAACATCATTTTTTTGAAATTTTCCTGAATTAATGGTGGACATTTCTCCTTGCTATACCAAATTTCTCTCACATATTTTTAGTTAAGGGCATTTTAGGAAATAAACATTTAATGATCTAAAGAGTACATTATATTTTGGACCACCAAAACATCCTAACAAGTGCCTTATTTGAGAGCGGAGGCAGTATAAGAGAGATGGTGTTTAAGCATATTTATATTATTAATATTTGCCTTCACCATAGCTCCTTTTCCTTGCAAATCACTGCAAAATTTTCCCATGAGATTCTAGAATAATGTTACCTTATTGTCCATGAAATGTGTATCTTTTTAATGTAATCCTTATTCCTTCTTTCAGGGTGGTGAGAAGTTGGGTTATGAGACTGAAGCATTTGCGATTTATGATGTTATGAGGTCATCATCTCCGTATTTTTCTATGATCATGCATTTAATAATTTTTGTTGCATTATGAAATGGTGTTATTGTTTATTTTCTTGAGATCGCCTTGCTTGTATTGGGTTTTGAAGCGACTGTTTAGTTGGGGTATCAATTGGTTCAAGGCAGTATTTTTGTTGATTTTTAGACTATAACTAGCCAATGCCTGAGTTTTATTATGATTCGTTAATCCTATATGTCTACCTGAATCACTCAACATTGGAGGTGGTTGTGAAGTTATTAATTGTAATTTTATCATGAATCTGTTAATAAAGTTGCATAAGTTGTGTCCTTCGGAATTTCAGTACATTGTCCATTACCTTGCCTTTCGCTGACTGACATGCCCCTCCCTTCCTCAAGTATGATTAAACCATGTTTATCACCAAGTTTTGCTTGTCAAGGCCCTGATGTCTCGCTTTTGACTGCTGATTTATCTGGTTTATTATGTCTTAGTGCATAAATTATCATTGTCCTTTCCTATACCCTGGGCCACCCCCTTTAGTGAAAAGAATTGCCTTTTTCTTGTTTTGCTTTGACCCTATCTTGAAGAATTGCCTGGAGAGTTTGCGCTTACGAATTTAGGTGACTTCTGTTACAGGTATGTCAAGCCTCCTATTTTCACTCTTTGTGTTGGTAATGCATGGGGAGAAGCTGCCTTACTTTTGGCTGCTGGTGCTAAGGGAAACCGTTCTGCTTTGCCATCATCAACAATAATGATAAGACAGGTTCACACTTTTCTTGTTCTTCTTACAATTTAAACTATTGTATGTCTTTATCTTTCATCCAAATAGCATAACCATGTTTTCCTTGTTAATTTTCAGCCTATAGCGAGGTTTCAAGGTCAGGCAACCGATGTTGACCTTGCAAGAAAAGAAGTAAAGAATGTGAAGACAGAACTGGTTAGAACAATAATCATTTTGTTTTGTGAAGACTAGAGTGGGCCCTTTTTATTTGGAAAGATGAGCTCCATTGTTCATCGTTATTGAATAGTGTGGCTTCGTGTAACTTTTGTGTTATATTGGTATGTTGATGATGGTTACTGCTCTACATATCCGTCTGCATGCATGTTGCTGTGTGCATGTGTGATGAGTGGGTGCATGGGGCCATGGTATGCGTGGGTAGTTGTAGGGCTGAGTGCGTGATGCTGGCACGTGTCCATGCACGTATGCGCGTATCATATACACATCTACTACCTCCGGTAGAGATAGAACTAGATAAGTGATTTGTGAATATTAAAAAAAATAAGTTAAGTTAGTTATTTATAATAAAAGGATGTTGTCTTCCCTAAAATATCCTTGTTAATTATGTGCATTTAAACTAACTATTGATGTAAACTCCTTAACATGTGCATTCATCATAGAGATTACTTGGGAGCAAAATAGACTAATATTGAAGACAAAGTGAATTAAAACCTTCTATCTGGGACTCAAATGAATATCCAACTAGTTCTTATATTAAGGACCCGAGGTAATATTATCTATTAATTATTCAAACAACTTGTATTCACATGTCTTGATTCCGTTTTGAAGGTTAATTTATATGCAAAGCATATTGGAAAATCAACTGAGCAGATTGAAGCTGACATTCAGCGTCCCAAGTATTTTAGTCCCAGTGAAGCCGTTGAGTATGGAATCATTGATAAGGTTCTTCTTATTTACAAGTTAGATTTTTTTTTTTAATTTCATTTATTTTCTGTGAAAAATGAAGATATACCGTCTTCTACAGGTGCTGTACAATGAGAGGAGCACTAAGGACCGTGGTGTTGTTTCTGACCTTAAAAAGGCACAACTTATATGACTCTCTGGAGAATTTCAATTGTTTTTTCTTGGAGTTGTTAGGTAAAGCACGGATGTTATCATTATCATATTAATTATTTTAACTTCCAATACTGGGTCGCTTTTGTAAATAAGAACTGTATTGTAGGAAAAAGAGTAACTGTTTCCTTATAACAGACAACTCTTTGGTACTTTGGGTGATCTCCATTATTCCATTGCCATTTTACAATTTTGTATTCAGAAAGATAACATTCTGAGGCTAAGATTGGTCAACTGGGTGATCCCATAATTTCACATTTACACTTGGCTACAACCTTTTGGCATTGATAACTATGGAATAGTTATTTGGCTATTGCTGGCCTATGACTACAGCAACTATGAGTTGTTGTTATGCTATCATACTAAAGAAGGAATCCCAACGTATTATTATTACCATCATCATTTTGGCTTTTTAATGAGTTTTTCACAATTTATTATCTAAATATTAAGATTCTGACAATGACATTCACAATCTCTCTGGTTTCCATTCTTTTCTACTCCACTACTAGGTGCAAGCGTCGGTAGGTTCTCAAATAGGTGAGCAATTGCTAGTTCTTTTCACGACCACACAATTTATGCAATTATTTCCCCCAACCAGCTAGAATGGACACGTAGAAAAGGGTATGGCTAAAGTTGCTGCTGGGTCTGTTTTGGTGTTCTGACTTGCACCTTGTATTTGCTTTCCAGATAGTTCAGCTATGGGCACTAGAGTTCAGGTCAAGTATGATTGTATTTTGTAGGTAGGATTTGTTGTTGTTATTGTTGGCTTGATTTAATTTTGTCTAGCAACTTCACTGATCCTTTCTAACGCGTGTTGAAGACAGATGTGAGGACGTGAGACGTTGCAATTGTGAACCTTGCACATATGCTGGCACCTCAGCCTGTTTAGTGCCCTTTTGCATTATGTAATATTAGTGCATGACCCATGGATGGAGAGTGATATCATTATTCTTTCCCATCGAATCATTGTCTCTCTTCTCTTTTCTCTTCCTATATTTCTTTTTTCCTTTGGTTGGGAATGGAGGGTTAAAATGTAAAGAAGAGTTATTTCTCAATTGCATTAGTCCATATAAGAATATAGGAACAAGTTTTAAAAAAAAAAAAAAAAAGCATGGATTGTTCCAATCAGCTATGGGAGTTGGCGCTCAGTGTGATTGTCTGTTGGAAACAGGACATGAAATAAGCTATGTTTGTAAACATGTCGGCGTCCACTGAAACCGCATCTTGGTGGCCTAAAACCGAGTTTCGGTAGTGGACGTGATTTCAAACCTCTCAGTTGAAAGTGCAAATTCAGTATCCAGCACTCTTGAGATGGCATTGGAATTGCTCATTGGCTTCTTCTGGAGAAGCACGACACGTCGTTTGACGCAGTATGTATATAGTGCGCCAAATAAAAGAATAACATGAAAACAGAGCAAAGTGTTTAAGTAAAGCCACATACACGCTTAGAGTTTGTATTATCAAAGCGATGGAATGTGGCAAAAGAAAGCTATATTTCCCAATCAAGTATATATTTTTATAATTACCAACCACTTAAAAGTAACGAATATGGTAAAATTTCCATTTGATGAGCACTGAATATCTTTAGTTAGTGGGAAATTCTCAAGAATATTAAACACGCAACAAATAACATGTGTCCTTAACACCTTATTTACAATGCTTAAATGACCCTACTTTTTATAACTTAATCCAGCAGATGTTGACATTCCCCTTGCCTGTGTTGTGCATGTAAATAGATGGTGGAAGAACTGTACCATTTTTTTAAGGGGAAAAAATTCATATTTTAAATTAGAGTTCATTCAAAATGAACAAAATCATATCAGAAACCATGTGATCATTGTGTATAATATTATAAGTGTGTCATTCAGGAGAATGTAAATAATCTGTTCAAGAATATATTTGGGTAAGAAATTGGATTAGATTTTAATGTATTTGTACTTCTATTGGTGAATGCATTAAAAAAATTCATATTTAAAATATTTATCTTTTGAAAAATGAGAATGTACAGTCTTTTGATAGCACCAAGCTTTGAGTGTGCTCGACCTGTTTGAATCAACAAGTGCAATCCTTTGGTAACGAGGCTCCAAGTGGGCGGCCTCCATTAACAATCACCTACCACCTCCTTTCCAATGGCTGCTTTACGCTTGCTCGTGTTATCCCCGCAAAACTCCTTTATTGTTCACTCAACAGAAACAAATAATTTATAACTCATATTTTCAGATAAATATCATTAAGTAATAGGAATATAATAAATACTATATATGCTTATATATAATTGAAAGGGAATGTCTTTTTAAGATGTTATTATTTTCCTATGAATACTGAATAGGAAAGACACTTTAATGGACTAAATTTTTTAAAATTTTCTCGTTCTGTTTAAATACCATTATTACAATTAGCTTGAAGTAAGGATATTGGAGCCATAGAGTAATATTCCCTCCATTTCAAAATATTTTTCTTTTAAGGCTATGGATAAACATTAATGCAGTTTTAACTAGGCTAAATTATTGTTGCAAAATCGACAGATATTTAACTAAAATGTTCTTATTTATTTTGTTTTATTTTCTGAGCAAATACTTGAGTCTCAACAAAGGTATTTAGCTTTCAACATAGGACAAAACTTAAGTCAGAATCGTACGACCTCTTCTCCAATTAAATGTTAACACTTTGATTTTGCCATGAATATAAATATAATTTTATTATATTTAAGCAAAATGATCAAGTGAGGGGAAAAATAGTTCAAGTACCTGTCGAGATTTGATTGAAGAATTAGTTGTTGTAATGAGAATAAATAAATGGACCCAAGTCTTCTTATTTTTATTATTGAAGGACAAAAAAATTACAAAATAATTAATGCTTCATTAAAATTCTAAGTGAAAGATATTTTGAAGCAAAATATATAGAAAAAAGGACGAAATAAGGGGAAAATGACACGTCAGAAGTTATGCCTTATGAAAGTTAATATGTGTTAGCCCACATGGTTTTGGGCTGGCAAACACACCCATATTTATATTTTCTAACTATTAATTAAAACAATTTGGAGTTTTCTTCCGACAAAAAATCAGTGGGTGCTGAGGACACAATTGCACAAATTTATTAATTAGGAACTGACACGAGGAAGTCCCATAAAAATCCTTTTTAGGTAGTGCGTTACAGCCAAACGGGGCTGCTAGCTAGGATATTTATCATAGGGGCTGTCAATAATCTACTTGTTTATTTATATGCCTGAAGCAAGGTCTTTGCTTTTGACTTTACCTTCTTCCCACTCAGTTTACCAGTACAAACACATGTCCTAGCTTCGCATTTGTTAACAATTTGAGCTCAGCATGATGATTCGTTCTTGTGGTTTTGACGCAACAAATCCTGATAATGACTAGGATACGTTCAAAAGGTATCATCAAAACTATTTACGTTAATGGGTTGGTTCAAAAGTTATCCATTTCTCTTTTTGGGGAATCTGATGAGAATGAATTTTGAACGCTTCGGCTACTATGTTGTGGCTTAAGATTTGAAATCCTTTTCGGTATTGTTTCTTCTTGTTCACATTTTCTATTCTGCGTATCATCCAGTTGATTATAATTATATAATACCCACAAAAAATGGGGATATGACAGATGTATGATAAGTAAATGTATTAATATATACATAGAGAGAGAGAATAGTATAGTTCAAAGAAAAACTGATTATAAGGAATGTAATTATAAATAGCTATGCGGGTTTAAGGTTTCTAAGGTGCTTCTTCTAATACTATTTCCGGTCCTAATTATAAGCTTTAAAATTGGGAAGGACATGGTCCATTTTATAAGTTCCAATTTAAGTTTATCTTAACATTTAATTCATATTTTTCATATTGCCCTTAATTATTTTTCTCCTGTCACATTTTTTCACACATTTTCTTTCATCTATTTTCTCATTTATTATATGGGCATAATTAAAAATAAAAATATATTTCTAACCTATCTATTGTTTTTAACTAATTTTAACTAATAGTTTATTATCCATAAATTAATTATTTAAAACTTATAATAAGGACTAGTGGGAGTAATAAATAAAAGCTTTGACAAGAGAGCGAGAGTAACGTTTGTAGTTTCTGCCGAAGTGTACCAGGATTAAAGGTAATATTTGACTTTTTTTCTTACCACGCATATATTTCGCTTTTGGCTTATAGATTTCACAGAATAAAGAACCGAACAAGTACACTTTAAATTATGTAAAGGTATTAAGCTTTAGGGTTTGCCTAATTTTGAATAACTAATTAATACTGAGCATCCTTAATAAGTGTCTTCCACCCTGAACAGTTCCAACCATCTGTGAGAACCAGAGTATATACCAGTGCGTTTTATTTTCTGTGATGAAAATATATATCCCCATCAGGTTTTTAGACATCCTCTATAAGTTTGTAGGTTCATGAATATTCCCAGAAAAAAGCTGCAATAATACAATAGTTAGCTGATTTAGCATTATATTAAAATCTCTCATCCACATCTAGGAATCAAACACCAAATCTTGAGCATTAAAAATATGTAGTAGGATGGCGTAACTGAGCAAGTTCTCTTCTTGTAATAATAACAAAGCGATCACTGAGAATGTATATTAATGGCTGAGAGAGCTCAACATGTGTTAATTTAGGGTCTATTTGAATTGCAAAGAGAGGTCAGTATGTTAATTAGGCCTTCAATTCCAAAATATATTATAATGATTAAGAGGGTTAACCATTTTAATTAGTGTGTACATGCATGTACCCCTCACTATTATTCCAACCCAATCAAGAGCTTCGAGTCGAAGTGGAAGAAAAAGTTGAATATGCCACTTCAGTGGCCTCTGCACAAGGCCTCTGCTATAAATACCACACCACATGTCTTTGCTTTCTAACCCAAAAACTCATTTCTCTTGTTCTCGTGCTTACTTTATATAGTTTCCTTCTTGCATTGAAGTCTTGGTTGCTCTTGTTAATTTGAGGCTTTGAATTTGGCATTTAGCAATGGAACTTCATTCTAAGTACCAATTAGGCCTTGTCTGTGTGATGTTGCTCTTACCTGCACTATGTACCTCCCAAGACTTTACGTCCTCCAGAGCTACCTATTACGGTAGCCCTGATTGCTATGGAACTCCAAGTACGTGACCCTCCTCTTCTACCCCTTGTATGGGATTCCTTTCCTCCCACGAGTACTTAGCCTAATGGCTTCTGTACGTAGCCAGCTATATAGCTTGCATGGGTTTGGGGTTTGAACCCATAATCCTAACCGCTCCGTGTATGTGAAGGGGGAAAGCAAA